CTTCCCTTTTTTCCCCTTCCCCTACATTCATCTGTTTTGTTTCTTAAATTCCACATATGGGATCCCTGGGTGGTGCAGCGGTTTGGCGCCTGCCTTTGGCCCAGGGTGGGATCCTGGAGATCCGGGATCGAGTCCCACGTCGGGCTCCCGGTGCATGGAGCCTGCTTCTCCCTCTGCCTGTGTCTCTGCCTCTCTCTCTCTCTCTCTCTGTTTGTGTTCTCTTCCTTCCTTCCCTCCCTCCCCTGTCTTCTCTTCTGATTTCTAAGATGAACAAATGAAATCTGTGCCTATTCTCTGCTCTTGTTGAGTATGAATACTAGGGATGGAGGATATTCTTTCTCCAGTAATGGTTGATCCCCACATCTACATACAATGACCAGGGTACTAGACAGGTCAAGCACAATGGGTGATAAAGACCAACTGAAGTCTCAGAGACCTTTGTGAAGATGTAAAGTGATTCAAGTAAACTCCATGTTACTTCATTTAATACCCATTAAGTTCTGCCAACAACCTGTGAAGCATGCACCATTATCATATTTCAATATGAAAAAATGAAGGCTCAAAAGATTGAGTAGCTGATTCTATCTTCCACAGCTACTGAAGTCCTAGCTGGAATTCTAACTCCCATAGGTCTTTCAGTTCCTTAGTTACATCACCATGCCCTTTTCCTCCTCAAAGATTTTGTGCATGCTGACCTCTGTGCCTGACTCCACTTCCCACATGGCTAACTTGTGCTCATTCTTTGAGTCTCAGTCTAAATACCTTTCTCATAGATGGTGTCCCTACCTACTTGATCTAGACTATCTATACACTCTCATCCCATTATCCTCTAATTCAGTCTTCTGTTTGTCTCCTTCATAAATATTACTACAATCTGTGGCTATTTTATTTACTCTCTCTTCTCTTGGATGGCAAGTTCCACTAAGACAAGGATTAAAGCTGTTTTTCACATTGACATATATAGGAATATCCTGCCTAGCCTCCACATTTAAAGGACTTAATAAATATTTGTTGGATGGATGTGTGGGCAAATTTTATTCCAGATCTGCTTGATTCAAGTTTACCATTCCCACTTCTAGAATAATGAGGTTAAAAGTGAAAGTGTTCTTCTGAGTCTAAACTGAACTCCTTGCCATATTTAGAAGGCTGTTCTGAGAATTACTGAGTTTAAAAAGGAAAAAAAAAAAAACAAATGTTATGGTCTTTAGAAAATGTCATAGAAAGGTGCTCGTTGGTTGCTGAGTATTTAGGACTGACTGGTATTCATTTACCATATCTTTTTTGAGTCAAGCATTATGCCTGCCATGAAGTCCTCGTACATTTTTTTAAAGGCAACTGCCAGTGTTGGATGTGTGCAGTGATGTTTTGAGAATGATCTATTAGGAGTTAGGTTTCTATCCGGTTAATTAAGAAGAGTGTCAAAGTCAAGTCAATGTAAATGGGAATGTTAACTCAATACATGAGATTGAGAGAGAAAAATCTTGCCTTGAATCGGTTTCCAAACCTGATCCTGAAGCATCTATCTTGTTTCAAGCCTCAGTGGTAACTTTAAGATCTCTAGAGAACAGACAGGGGTTGGGATAAGAAAAATGTTGTAAGAGAGAAATAAACTAGGAAATCTAGCAGTGGAATTACAGCCTCCAAAAATAACACTGGAGTCCAACTCCCCTTCCACATGTATATCCAGCTGTGCCTCTGAGTGAACACCACCTAGTCTCCCGCACTCACTCATTCCAGGCATGTTCCCAGAAAGAGTCATCAGAGGAAGGAAACACTGTAATTCTTTCAGCTCCAGTTCAATCCAGCCTCATTTCTAGGACCAGTTGAGTGACTTGCCAAAACCAAGGGATCTGCTCTGAACTCACTGAATTATACTGGCACTGGATGTGGTTTATTTAATGACTTTAGGAAATAATAGGAAAAGCAGTTGATTTGAAGACAGACACACTTCATTTGTAAATTGTTTCTGGGTATGGATCTGGTTTCTTTCTCCTTTTGTTCCTCCCAGTTCTCTCCCTTTACTTTTAATGACAGAAAGGGAAATCGTATACTTCCGAGGGTCCAGATTTGACTATACTTTCCTTCCCTTACTCAGCATGCCTGCTACAGGAAACTCTGTCCCATCAGTGAGTTGTCTGTCCTATGTAATGCCATTTACAACGAAGTATTAGAAAGATTTTGTATGTGAGCTTTGGAGATGAGAAGAAATACCTATCAGATTCCTGGGATGCCTCTTAAAAATCATCTACCTAGTTTTCCTAAAGCAAGAGTATGTATTTGTACTTGTCTGTATATGCCTAAGGAAATTCTGGATCTTTGGACTAATAGGGAATGTGATACCATTCCACAATGCTGGGGAGAAAACATGGGGTAAAAAACAAACAAACAAACAAAAAGATCCCCACAAAAACCTTTGAGAACAGGGAGAAGGATAGCTACACATTGCCTTTCAAAGAGACTAAAGGAGCGGAGGGCCTAATGCAATGGCTATAGATGTGGCTGTCCCTTGTCCCTTCTTGAAAGAGTTCAGCCAGGCAGCCCGGGGGGGGGGGGGGGGTGTGCTCAGCGGTTTAGCACCACCTTCAGCCCAGGGTGTGATCCTGGAGACCCGGGATAGAGTCCCACTCAGGATCCCTACAGGGAGCCTGCTTCTCCCTCTGCCTGTGTCTCTGCCTCTCTCTCCTCTCTGTGTTTCTCATGAATAAATAAATAAAATCTTTTTTTTTTTTTAAAGGAAGAGTTCAGCCACTGACACTGTGAAAGGTATGGCTGCAGTTGCATAGCTGGTGCCAGAGAGGAATCTGCTACTGGGGATGTTTTCCTCAGAAAAACTGCCAGAAGACAGACCTCTCATCTGGGCTCACACCAATATCAGTTCCTGTGTCTAACACCTTTTCCTACATTATAGTGCTGTCTTCTTTAAGTCCCACTGGGAACTGGTGTGGGGTTATTCTGTCTCAAGCATGATCTGAAGGACTCCAGTTAAATCCAGTAGCTAGTTCATTATAAGACTAAATTTGCTATACGAGTAAGGAAGATGCATATTGAGTTTCATGCACCTTTTATGCTTTGGGATTGGTACTATTTTTCCTTAGCAAAGACTTGGCAAACACTTCTCAATATTTGTGTAAACTGTGTCTTATTTGTAAGGAAATGCTTTCCCATCACGACAAGGCATTTGCCAAATTAACAAATGATTGTCCATCACAGTTGAAGCATAATATCCTAAAACGTTGTTTTGTTCACTCTATTATTTGTTATCTAATCTTTCATAGTAACATTATTAAATGGCATCATGGTACACTCAAAATGTTTATTGCATTTATATTTTCTTGTATTCAATATTTCTCTGAAAAATGACTCATTAAGACAAAAATGCTTTTCTTTAAAAATAATCATAGACGTAGCTAGAGTGTACTATGCTAAGCAAAATAAGTTAGAGAAAGACAAATACCGTATGATTTCACTCATATGTGGAATTTAATTTTTTTTAATTTATTTATGATAGTCACAGAGATTAGCCCAACGTGGGATTCGATCCCGGGTCTCCAGGACCGTGCCCTGGGCCAAAGGCAGGCGCCAAACCGCTGCGCCACCCAGGGATCCCTATGGGATAACTTTTAAAGGCCAGATAGGATTTTGTTTTTACATTAGGGGAGAGTTGGGATACCTGGGTGGCTCAGCAGTTGAGTGTCTGCCTTTGGCTCAGGGCCTGATGCCATATTCCCAGGATCAAGTCTCGCATCAGGCTCCATGCATGGAGCCTGCTTCTCCTCCCTCTGCCGGTGTCTCTGCCTCTCTCTCTCTCTCTCTCTCTGTCTCTCATGAATAAATAAGTAAAAACTTAAAAAAAAAAAAAAGAGTCTACATTTGGGGAGGGTTGAGGTTTGGGCCTACATGTTCAGGAAACAGAATAAAGAACAGAAATAATGATCATTATAGATCTTATATAGTTGACATAGTGCTTAGTTAAGTTATGTACTTTATCTCATTTAATCTTTACAAGAATCCTCCAAGATGAGTCTTGTTAGCCCCATTTTTTAAAAATAACTTTATTTTTTAAAAGATTTATTTGTTTGAGAGACAGAGTGAGTAAGAAGAGGAAGAGCAGGGGCAGGGGGAGGGAGAAACAGACTCTCCTGCTGAGCAGGGAACTGGACATGGGGCTGGATCCCAGGACCCCAGGATGATGACTGGAGCAGAAAGCAAACACTTAAGCAATTGAGCCACCCAGGCACCCTTGTTAGCCTCATTTTGCAGAGGAGGCAAATGAAGCTCAGAAGGAAATGTGGACGTCACTCAGTCCCTCTCTTGGGGAATTCTTTGATAATGATGACAGTCTCTAAAGTTAGCATACAGTGTATATAGTTGATAAATTTCTTGAGAATACTTTATTGTGGCATTACCACATTGTTAACTTTTAATAATTAATGATAATTATTAATAATTAATGACAATAATGCTATTATTATAACTTTATCTCAACTCAGCAAGCATTGCTGAATACCTAACTAATGTCACAGACACTGTAGTGGGTAGAGATATAATGCACAGCTTCATTTTGGGGATGAAGAATAGCTGATAGTCCATGGCCACTCGGGTGGGCAGTGGGGCAGGAGTGGTTAGTAGTGTCTGGGTGATGCCATGGTAGAGTTTTGGATCTTGTCCCATGGAAGAGTAGCATTTTGAAGGACTGCTCACAAGGTTTGTTTGTTTGTTTCTTTATTAGACTTTATGTATTTATTCATGAGAGAGAGAGAGAGAGGCAGAGACATAGGCAGAGAGAGAAGCAGGCTCCCTGCAGGGAGCCTGATGTGGGATTTGATTCCAGGACTCCAGGATCCCACCCTGGGCCAAAGGCCAAAGATCAGGCACTCAACCGCTGAGCCACCCAGGCATCCCTCACAAGCTATTTTTAGCCAGAGCTTTATAAGCACCAGTTACCTGCGGGGCCATGTAATAACCTTCCTCATAGATTGCACACCTTCTTTCTTCTTTAGGAATGGTGGACAGTGCCATGGACCTGATCTTGATCAATTCCCTACCTCTGGTGTCTGATGCGGAAACATCCCTCACCTGCATCGCCTCTGGGTGGCGTCCACACGAGCCCATCACTATAGGAAGGGACTTTGAAGCCTTAATGAACCAGCACCAGGATCCCCTGGAGGTTACTCAAGATGTGACCAGAGAATGGGCTAAAAAAGTCGTTTGGAAGAGAGAAAAGGCTAGTAAAATCAACGGTGCCTATTTCTGTGAAGGACGAGTTCGAGGAGAAGCAATAAGGATCCGGACCATGAAGATGCGCCAGCAAGGTAATATGCCCCCTAGTCGGGGGCTCGAGAGGCCACTGAGACTCCCACGCAGCCCCCGCTTGGGCAGCTGCTCAGTCAGAGACCGGGCGTGGACCGTGTGGGTGTGGGGCTGGGAGACCGTGTCTGGCTTTCCCAGCATCGCTGTCTCTAGGACACAGTATCCGGGATAAGAGAGCCTGGCCACCCGGCTCACATTCGACCCCTTCACGAGACGCCTGCCTAGGTCATGAGATGGAATGAAGTCTATTATACATTGTACTAAGAGCTCCATGGCCTTTTTGGAGATAGGAACATGTCACATGTATGTAATGGGAAAATAGCAATGAAGACAGCTGTCCATGCCAACACATAAGCTGTTTTGAGCTTTCTTGTTGATTTTTCATTAGATTCTTCCTTTTGCTTGCCCCTGTGTATTCTTAACAGAAGTTAATGTTTTCAGGGGACAATGTGGTAGAAATTAAGAACTTAAGAGGGAAGCACCTATCAGTAACTCACCTTGGTTACTTACTCTATCGGTTATCTGTTGTTACAGTGACGCTGTGTACCACACAACCGCAAACCGTCAGAGTGGCACCCGACAGTAAGCATTTGTAACTTGAGAGTGGAAGGCAGGTGGGCTGATTGGGTGACTCAGCTATCCTTGACTGGGCTTTCTCACACATGGTTGTTGGCTGACTGGAGACCTTGGCTGGGCCAGCCTGGCTCTGTTCCATGCCTCTATTATCCCTTCGCAGGCTAACCTGGGTATTCTCACAGAGATGGCAGACGTGCAAGAGGACAGGGGAAACATACAAGGCTTTTTGAGACTTAGCCTCAGTATTGTATGCTTTCATTCCTATCTCATTTTATTGCCCAAAGAAAGTCCAATAGCAGAGCCTAAAGTTGGAATGGATGGACATCACACAATTAAATGGCAAAGCTTATGGAGACAGGGAGGGATAAAGAATTGGGGCCCTTTTTGCAGGCTAACATTCTTGGAAAAGAAACCATGATTTCATTTTATAAGTTGAGTAACCACACTTAGCTCCCAGAACACCAGGACTTTGAAGGGAAATGTTGAGGGGCTTCTACAAAGGGGCATTTGCTACTGCCTCACAAGGCAGTGATGTGATGGAGCCTTTTTCCCAAAATACAAGTGGTTCTAAGCTAAATCTTTAGGCCAGTCCAACAAATTGAGGCAGTTGGAGGAGACAGTATTGTGAATATCATTTAATGATTCTATTTTGCCCTAAGTCTCCCAGGCCTGGACAGGCAGGTAGATTCCAGGTATCTTGGTGCTACTTGCTGGGAGGAAGGCACAGAATTCCAGCAAATATGACCTCTCCTTGTCCTGGCTGGAATAATCTGGCCACTCACGCATCAGCCCTTTTTTTTCCTGGACTGATCATACCTATAGCGAAGGGGTCCTTTCTAGATTGATGTCATCATAGCCACCAGGACAGTGGCCTGAGAATGTGTCTTTTCAGGAGATAATGACCTTGTGAATTCTTTAGAGGTTGATTTTTAATTGCAAAAGTGACCCATATAAATAACACCCCTCTACACATATCTCTGATTGGCAATTTTTTAATATAGGAGTCTGCATTTTTTAGGTCTGTGTTTCTCAAAGTTGAACATGCTTATAGATAGATCACCTGTGGGTCTTGGTAAAATGCAGAATCTGATTCAGTAGGTCCTTGAGGAGCTTCCTGAGATTGTGCACTTCTAACAAGGTCCCAGGTTATAAGGTACCTCTGGGCTGTGGACCATACTTTGGGTAACAAGGGTTTAGAGTCAGCCCCTAGCTATGTTCCACCTGAAAACATTTCTTTGAATTTGTTAATGTCCATAATTAAAAGATTTGAAAGCAGCAAGCTCATTTTAAAGTCAAAAGTGATAAAAATCACTATCCATTACAAATGAAGGAAAAGGTTTTCTTAGCAAAACTGTAATGGTCACCTTTAAATGACACTAGGGTGAGTGGGAAAAGTGTACAACAGACATTCCCAGGAATGCAGCTCTCCGGTGAGGGAAGAGAGTTTGAACAAAGGGATGTGAGGTGTGCCAAAGCTATCATGGCTAAAAAGTCAGCTCTATTATTTTTCACATTGTCATTCGGGATTTGACTTGTATAAAGAGTTATGCCTTTCTGCTGACATTTCCACATTCTGAATGAAGATAATCTGAGATTTGTGCCCTAGTGGCTTTATAGGAAAGAAATGTTGAAGTGCCACTGTGCCCTTTTCAGGCTGGCCTGAGCCTGTCCTTCACTGTGAAAATAAGAACCTGGAGAGTATATTAAACTGGAATTTTGGGAGTCAAAGACCAGCTCTAATGACTGCTTCAAACTGAAAGTCTAGGCCAGTGAAGGTTAAGGAGAGCTTAAATTCAGTTAAATGAGGTAAAGGCAGGCTTGCTAGTGAGAGAGTGTGGCGAGAAGATGGCTTTCAGACTCTTATTCACCTGAGTTTTAATTCTGTCTCCACTACTCACCAGCTCTGGGTAAGCCTCTTAATATCTGTTGGTCTCATTTTTCGTCATCTGTGAAACGAGAATAACAGTATCTTAAGTTTTAAATAAGGTGGTGTGTACAAAAAGCCAATTCTCATGAATGTGTTTAGATGAAGATTTGGGGACACCTGGGTGGCTTAGAGTCTGCCTTCGGCCCAGGGCATGATCCTGGAGTCCCTGGATCAAGTCCCACATCAGGCTCCCTGCATGGAGCCTGCTTCTCCCTCTGCCTGTGTCTCTGCCTCTCTCTCTGTCATGAATAAATAAATAAAATCTTAAAAAAAAAATAACAGAGAGAGAGAATTTTACCACATATATTTGAGAACTAAATGAGACCACCAATATATTTGGCTCATAGTAAATCTTCAATAATCATCACAGTGCCTAGGAATAAGCAATAATTTTAGTAAGACTATTTTTCTACTCGGTTGTAGAAAAAATTAATACTATCCATTAACATAATTATGGAAATTTATAAAAAAAATAGAAAAATAGGTAGCGCTTTCTCTCCTGCATTGTAATAGCAACATCTCAGGCTGTTGAACGGATTCGGTTTATTTTGCTGACCATCCAGTAGCTGAAATACGGCAGGAGGAAAGTAATATCCTTTATGGTGAATCAGGAAAACCTTCGCATCTATGTCTTCGTGACACTATTAATTCCCTAGTAAAACATTGTGGGATCTCAGAGGCGCCTGCCCAGGGACATAGCAGGATAGGATAAACATCGATGTATTCCTGCTTGCTGCTGACTCGTGCATCTGGGGAGGAAGTGGAAAATCCATTTGAGATGTGCCAAAACATGCTTAAATTGGCTCTCACACGCCAAATGGTCAAACTGTTTTTTATCAATGGCATCATGCAAAAAAATCAAAAGCAGTTTGTTCAGACCTCACTGGTGATTTCATTTGGGGGTAGGGAGGTATAAATGAAGTTTGAAGCATTTTCACAGCCAAGTTGCTGTCTCAGAATGTTCCATCTGGAAGAAACATAGGTTATTTCCTTCCTATTTTCATTTGAGAAATAGCTGTACTTTAAGATCATCAAACCTTCCAAATGTGATTTGTGAAGTTAATAAAGAGGAGCAAGCCATTTGTATTTAAATAATATGAATGAATGTGTTAAAAGCATAAAGAAAATAGGAAAACTTGAAATCAGATTCATTCATTTATTCTTTCATTCCCCAAGTATTCTTAGGGCCTCTTTTTGTGTCACGTGTGGGAGATGTGGTGATGGTAACATTTCTTGAAAACTTAGGTACGTGACATTCCCCTCGCAATTTTATATACATTACTATATAAGTTAGACTTTACTGAAATGTGTGTCTGGTGAGGACTGTTACGGCCCTGTATTAAGAGATGGGCCTTACAGCTATTGCAATTTAGGTGCATTCACACACCTGGTTTCCATTGTTGGGCCTGGACAGGTTGCCTCAGACTGATCCCAGAAGCCAGGCCCTAACTCACACCCTGTGCTGCCCTTCGAAACAGATGTGAACTTAGGTCTTGGAGTGTTCAGTCTAGCTGGGGAGCTGCACTGTGTGGGGCCTGGAATGGAGCTGTGCAGGGCATTGGGAGAATAGCCTTGGGGTACTTACCCCGGATCCCAGGAGATATGTAAGGCCCCTAGAGAAACAGACACCCACATGGAGACTGATGATGAGTGGGATGTGGTTAGACATGGGGGAAGGGAAGGAGGAAGTTTATGACTTGGTCATGAGTGATAACGTGGTCCATTTGCAGAACTGAATATGGTTGAGAATGGCTGCAACTGAGAACTAAGACAGTGGGCCTGGAGTAAGAGGGTCTGGAGAGATAGTGTTGTTGAATGTGTGGGTGTCTTGAGTTTGTGTCTCAACTTTCACACAGACTCACAGTCAGGAAGCCTTGGGTAAGGAGCAAAGTCACCCTTAACTCCGTCTCCCACATGGGTAGCCAGTGGATATACCTACCTTCTTTATAGCACGGTTGTGAAATTGTACAAAATAATAATGGACATAGAACACCACTATTACCCTTAGTCTTTATCATTAAAGGAGACACCCAAAATTGAACTCAGTTGTATTGCATCTTGAGAAACATCTTTATTTATAACTGTTACTACCATCTATTCTCCTCTCCAACCCTTACAGAATACGCAAATCACATTCTTAGTTAAGTTCTGTCAATTAGTCCATCCAAATGACCTTGAACAAGCCATCTTCAAATTCAGGCCCTAGCGATCTCATTTATAAATGAGGTGCCAGAACTTTAAAGCCTCTGGAGTGCTAACATTGTATAACCTATGGAAGGCTTCCACAGCCAAGTAACCTAGTTCAAATCCTGACTCTCCTATGAACTTACTGGGTAGTTGGACAAGTTACTTTACCTCTGTACCTTCATTTTCTCATTTGTAAAATTAAGATAATTGTAGTACCCATCTGACAGAGATATTGTGAAAATTAAATATGTGTAAAGTGCTTAGAAAAAGTAGGGCCTGATAGCACTATTGAGAGGTGCTTATTGTTTTTATGATCCATTCAAGTCACATGACATTAATCTGCATAGTGTCCACGCTGGGCTTCTGTGTCATCCAAGTACAGCATGAAGGTTGTAGATTCCTTTATTAGTACTCAGCAGAGAACAGTCAACCTGGAGCCATTCATGCAGGAAGGGACAGGCTGGATAGCAGTAGAACCCTGCTATAACCACTTAGGTAGAAACCTACCTAAGAAAAGAGGGGGCTTAAAAGCCACAAAAGCTGAAACAGCAAAGAACTACGGAGTGGGGGGAGAAAGAAAAGCCCCATTGGAGTGGAGCCCGTGGCAAATGTCCATTCCTTTTCAGGATACAATGCTGAGTGAGAAGTTCTATGGTCAGTTCCATGATTAGATTGTCACACAAAGGGGCAGAAGGTAAAAGCAAACCACAGAGAAAGGAACAACAGTATAAAATGGTCACAAAAGATTGTTACAGGGGCCTGGGAACATGCCACAGAGAGCAAGCGCCACACACGTCAGGATCGCTGAGGGAAACACCTGGTCACTGTGAGCAGGAGCTCCATCAGGTCCCCCTGCCCGTGGTCCCTCCCTGCCTTCCCTGAATGCTCCATCCCTCTTAGTACCTTGGAGAAAGCTGCCACCTGCACCCAGGTGACAGACGGCTGCCCAGCTGTGTTGCCATCTCTTTATATTTGGGAAGGACACTGAACTCTTCTAAGTACCTGGGGGCTTGGAATACATCATTTCATACTCCCAGCAACTTTTCAAAGTAAATACTCGTACTTCTAAATTACAGACAAGGAAGCTGAGATATTCAGAGGTTACATAACTCCTTCAAAGAGATCTAGTAAGGGGGTGAGGGGGCACAGCTTTAAGCCTAGGACTGTCTTCCACACTCCCAGTGCCCTTTGACCCACCCCATTCTCCCTCTAGGTATGTATGCCTCATGTCACAAGAGGCATTTTTGTGGGTGTCCTGGCAGGGCCCTGTGCCTGGGTCAGCACACACAGAGAAGAACAAGTAGATGAACCTATAGCTGAGTCCTTCTGAGTATAGTTGCAGGCATCTCCTGCCCCCAGGGTAGCCCTCTAAGCCCATGACGTGCTCCATACCTAATCAGCCTCTCTCAAGCCACTAGTCTGAAAGCCACAGAGGAGACAGGAAGGAAGGCTGACTGACCCCGTGCTCCATAGCAGGCTGGTTCCTAGGTTGAAACTCCATGGGGATCCAAACCTTAGGGTAGAGAGTGCTTTGCTATTGATTTCTAATTTAGGTGGCTTCTGGTCAGAGGATTTGTTCTATAGAATATTGATTCTTTGTTATTTATGGAGATGGGGTTTGTGGCTTAATAAGGGAGACAATATGCTTGAACATGTGTTCTTACAGCTGGCTGGGTACAGGGATCCATGAATATCCAACAGATCTTTAATTGCATTATACAGTTTTTCTTTATTTGTCCTTAGTAAATTTTTGTCTGTTTGATGAATCAGTTTCTGAAAGTTTCCACAGTGTGGATTTGTCCATTTCTTTCTTTACTTCTGTCAGTTTCGGTTTCATGGGTTTAGGAGCTATTGTTGGATGCATATATAAGTTCAGGATTACTATTTCTTCCATTTATTATATCATCATGTAAAGACCATCTTTATCCCAAAAATTTTGTTTTGGCTTTAGAATAAACTATTTTCTTCTAGGGACGCCCGGGTGGCTCAGCGGTTGAGCATCTGCCTTTGGCCCAGGGCGTGATCCCAGGGTTCCGGGATCGAGTCTCACATCAGGCTCCCTGCATGGAGCCTGCTTCTCCCCCTGCCTGTGTCCCTGTCTCTCTCTGTGCATCTCTCATGAATAAATAAATAAAATCTTTTAAAAATAAATAAATAAATAATTTTCTTCTGACATAAATATTGCAATACCAGCTTCTTTCAATTCATATAAGTCTGGTATATATTTTTCTATCCCTTTACTTACAAGCTTATGTGTTATTATGTTTAATGTGTAAGTCATGAAAAAGCATGTGTATTATATATGTATTTAAAAAAATTCATTCTAGGGTTCTCTGGCTTTTGACATACATTTGGCAGAATCTATCTTTTCTGTTTGTTATGATTTTTATTTGGGCTTTTTTCTAGGCTTTCATGTTTCTCCTGCCCTCCATGTTTAGGAAAGTTATATGTCCCAATTCTCTTCTTTTAGTGCTGATTGTTACATTTTAAAAATTGGCTTAACTTGCATGTCAATTATATCTCAATAAAGCTAATTTTTTTTTAAAAATGGCTTACCTCAAAAAAGCTAAAGTTAATCCCCTCTTATTTTTGTAATTGTGTGTCTCTGTAGATTATGATGTAAATTAAGGGAATTAAGAAATTGTTGTGGTTGGGAGAATGTTAGAAGATTTTATTCACACATCTTGTCCAACAAACCAAAGCACTTGGGCAATGTTATCTTCCATGACTGACAAAAAGACAGATGTTTCCAAAAGAGTTTTATAAGTCAAATATACAATGGCTTCTCCTCGGTCCTCTCAGTACTGCCCAGTTCCATAACTATGTCAGTATGTGTGTATCCCTATACATTTGATTGTATATTTATATTATATAATATATATTTTATATATAATTAAGGGGAAGAAGGGTCCCATCTTTGCCTTATTATCCAATATCCTAATATTTACACCATTAGTAATAAGTCCAGCATTGTGCTGATTCCATTTGAGAAATGCCTGGGGTGTTCTAAAGCAATTAGAGTTAGTTGATCAACACAACCCAAAAGGTCCATGACCCAAAAGGGAAGAGCCATTTGGCAAATGTCTAACCGTTTCTACTCTTTTCCACTTTGAGAAAACTTGGTAGGGATTGGAGAAAGATGGTTGATTCATTGTTAATATAGTTGAGAGCTAATATCAGGTCTTTGACAACAGATATTCGTCAACATAATGTCCCCATCTCCCCAATGAGGTTTTTGGGGAAAAAAATGTGTATATGTATATTGTATGTATATATTTACATTTTTACAAAGAAAATGACTCTTCCTTTCATCACATTTTTCAAAAACTTAATGAAGTTTAAGACACATTAGCTCCCCTTTTTCCTGTCCTACCAATGAATCGAATTCTGGCAAGGGCCAGCCCTCATCATCTGAAGTTCAAAGTTCAGTTGCTCCTGAAGAAAATATGTGACTTCATTTTCTTGTTTTCTTTCCCTCTCTTAAAAGCTTCCTTTCTACCAGCTACTTTAACCATGACTGTGGACAGGGGAGATAATGTGAACATATCTTTCAAAAAGGTGTTGATGAAAGAAGAAGATGCAGTGATTTACAAAAATGGTGAGTACATGTTTTGTTTCCTACAAGCACGAGGTGTGAGAAATCAGAGCATGAGATGTATTGGGTCATCATTCCGGTGCAGTCTTAGGGGCAGATGTTTGAAGCAAAGCCATTATGATGTAAGCCAGTTAAATCTTATTAAAGAAGCTCTATGAGGCAATGTGGTTGGTTGCTCAAAGCAGAGATTCATATACAGACATGAATGTACATACATTCTATATTTATGAATGTGTAATAAGAAATTGTGAATGTACAGTAAAACCCCATCATGATGATAAATGAGGTCCCAAATTCAGCCATGAAAAATGTGACGTTGCTTGATTGCAAGGTGAAGGAAATTACAAGACTGAGCTTGGGAAGCCAACTGGCACTAGGTCTGGAAATCCAACTGTGTCTTACAAATCTGTCCAGGTCCAACTGTGGTTTGGCACCATCTGGTGGCAGTTGTCTGATCCCCTGAAGTACTGATGGGGATCATTCTGAGTTCTGTGGGTGGATAGGACTTCCAGATTGGAGTAGTGATTCTAGGTATCTCCTGGTTAATGGATTAGTTGGCAGGGGTACCTTTACTTGTTCATCTTTTTCTGCAGAAGATAAACACTTTAGCCTTAGCTCTATCTTCATCTATTTGGTGGTAGACGGTACAGACCAACCTATCTGCTCTGTCACCACAACTTTCTCAATTTTGAGGAGAGCATTAAATGGCTCAGCCTTTTCATTCTTCCACATCCAATATGCTGGGCACATTTTCTATATCCAGTCAGAGACAACTGATGAAGTTGGGGAGCCAGATGGGGAAACAGGAGTGTCTGTGTGTGACCCACTGTTCTCTACTCTTCTCCCTTGCTAGGTTCCTTCATCCACTCAGTGCCCCGGCACGAGGTACCTGATATTTTAGAAGTGCATCTGCCTCATGCTCAGCCCCAGGATGCTGGAGTGTACTCAGCCAGGTACATAGGAGGAAACCTCTTCACCTCGGCCTTCACCAGGCTGATCGTCCGGAGTAAGTGATTGAAAGGCCACAATCTGGGATGATTTGGTTGTTAGGATCTTTAGCTGCAAGTAACAGAAACTGACTCTGGCTACTTAAGCAAAAACCAGGGACTGGCTGGAAGTATACTAAGGACTCCAAAAAAATTGGTGAAACTACTGAAAAGCAAGTTTCCAGAAAAGATAGGCCCCAGAGAAGATGTGGGGCGCTCAGCATGGGTGGGGGTGGATGAGCTTTCTTTCCAGGGGGATACTCTTACTCTAACTGTGCTTTAGCAATGTTTCTTTTATTTCCAACATTTGAATTACCGGGATAAAGGGTGTCTTCCAACCCTTGATTTCAGCTCTGGTCATGATCTCAGGGTTGTCAGATTGAGCCCCTTGTCGGGCTCTACAATCAGTAAGTAGTCTGCTTTAGATTCTTTCCCCCTCCCGTTCCTTCCTCCTCTATTCCTCTGTCGTTCTCCTCGTGATCTCTCTCTCAAATAAAAAAAAAAAATTCCTTAAAAAAACCCAAACAACAACCACATTAAGCCTCCTGTAAATACCACACTTTCCAGATTATTTAACTGTCAAATGGCATTTCTATTCTCATTTTTGAAAAATGCGCATGAGTTAGAACTAGTAAAAACTCCACCCCCACCCTTTTACAACTATCAAAACTTCCCTTGAATTTTCTTGACTGTACCAAGTATTCATGATATTAAACAACTCAGGTCTACTTAGATGACAGAACATTTGGGTTGCTCTGTCATTCTTCTAATGATTGGAATCTCTAACTTATGAACAATTTTGCTTTGCATTATATTTATTCATTTGTTCATTCAACAAATATATATTGATTATAACTCTGTGCCCAGCATCATTTTGGTATGAAAATACGAGGGATAAAAAGATGAATCACTGTCCCTTGGGTAATTCTCACAGTAGTTACATAGGTAAACGGAGAAATAGTTTTGCATTATGACATTATAAGTATGAAAAGTGTAGCTCATCTGGTTTTGGCAGGTGTAATCCTCTCTTATTCCCTACTCTCATGGAGAGTCCAAGTGGCAAAAGCACAGTTTGCCTTCATTTTGTTTAGGTGGCTTCTCTCCAGTCTAATACAACACCACGTACTGGGGGCACTCAGAGTCTAGGGTTTATGGGGATACTTTCTAGTAATAGCAGAAACGTCAGATGTTGACATATGGTAAAAGATTTAACTTTTTTTAAAATGTCAAAACAAACATGACTTAATATAGACTAGAATGTGAAACTCACCTGAACTTTTAATACAAAGTGAAAGATTTCAAAACACATTTTGATCTCTAGCTTATCTCTTGAGATTGCTAGGAGCACATGGTAATTCCTTTGCTATTAGGGGTATTTTGGTGAAACTGTTTGAGAAGCACTGCTAAATATCTAAAATAATTCTAAAAAAGTTTGAGTTAGGCTATGATCATCCCATTTAAGAGTATTTTTCCCCAGTGGGATTTATTTGAGGTTTTAAGCAATGAGGTGCAGCTGAAGGCATTTGTCTATTTCTCATAACTGTAGGCATCTCTTCAGGACAAAATTGAAATCTAGGAAAATATCAGTGCATAAAGACTTTGTGTGAAAAATCCCACTGGTTGTATTTATAGGATTTCTTTTCAATATAAATTCTCTGACAAAAGATTTATTATAACCATTGCGTTTATAGGATTTCTCTCTGTATGCATGAACATTTGGTTTCCTAAAATATAAAACCTCAGGGCTTTTGAAGAAAATTAATAGAAACCTGATTGCATCTTGTTGCTTATCAACGAACTCTTTTCCTGGCTTCTCCATCCCCAAGAGATCACCTCAATTTTCCCCTCAAGCTTTATTCTTTAATCTTTTCCAGGAGTAGGGGAGAAGCTGAGAAAGGTCTATAGATACGTAGAGCCCTAGAGATAATAGTTTAATGTAACAGGATGCCCATTTTCTTCTCCATGGGCTGCCATCATTAGTTTTAAACACCTGTAAATAACCTGTGGTCTGGCTTTTAAGAAATCACTAATTGTGCAGAAGTATTTTTCCCTTTATATATTAAGGCATGTAAATATTAACTTCTAGGTATTTTGCAGCTTTATCTATTAAGTGGAAGTCTGTAAGAAAGGGTCTATGTAGGGACGCCTGGGTGGCTCAGTGGTTTAGAGCCTGCCTCCAGCCCATGGCGTGATCCTGGAGTCCCAGGATCAAGTCCCACATCAGGCTCTCTACATGGAGCCTGCTTCTCTCTCTGCCTATGTCTCTGCCTCTCTTTCTCTCTCTCTCTCATGAATAAATAAATACAATCTTGAAAAAAAAAAAGGAAGGGTCTGTGTAGACAGTCTTCCTGATTATTTTAGAGAAAATACTGATAACCAGGAATTCTTGCCAAAGAAATTATAAAGTTACATCAGCTGTAGGCACAGGTCCAAGCTTACCCCCTGAGACTAACACTCAGGGACAAAGATACTAGTTCTTTTCAGGTGAGAAATTAAATTTCTGACCACAAAGGGTCATCCCAACACCCCTGACTTTTTTCCTTAATCAGAAGGTATCCTTGGATCCAAATAACCATCTAAAATCACCAAATGGGAGAAAGAAGCATCCAGGAGGGGCACCTGGGTGCCTCAGTCAGTTAAGCATCTGACTCTTGATTTCAGCTCAAGTTAGGATCTCAGAGTCCTGAGATAGAGCCCTACGTGGGAACTCCATGATGAGCATGGGGTCTGCTTGAGAGTTGCTACCTCTCTTGTACCCCTTCCTTTGCTTGCGTGCACTTGCATGCTATCTCTCTCTCTCTTTCATTAATTAATTCATTAATTAATGTTTAAAAATCTTAAAGAAAAAAGAAATATCCAAGAAATAAGAAGCTAGAAGCATTTTACCACTCTTATACTTTAGGTTTTGTATATCTTGTTTCAGTTCTTATGTTTTTTACCTGAAAAACAGGTGGATGCTACTAGCTCCTGCTTGCTTTTTTAGCTGAATCTTTTCTCTATATTACTGTAGACCAAAGGTTCTCATACTCTGGCATACATCAGAATTATCTGGAGGACTTGGCAAGCACAGATTGCTAGGCCACCTCCAGAGTTCTCAGTCAGTAGGTCATGGATGGGGGGTACATTTGGGATTTACAACTCTAGCAGATTCCAAGGTAATGGAGAAGCTATTGGTCAGGGATCAACGTTAGAAAACCATTGTTTTGGCTCTGATCATTTGTGCAGCTCCCAAACACGCCAGGCCTTCCTCCTTCGCCTCACTTTTTCTTGGGACACACTCTATAGCCTATCTTCTTTCCTAATTCTATGGTTATACTGATTCTGCTCACACACCACCTCCTCTAAGAAGCCTTCATTTATACTCTCTTCCATACCTAAGACAGGATAAAGTATTCCTTGTCTTTATTTCTATCCTTATTTCCTGTTTCCATTGTCTAGTTCTCATATAAGACTGTTAGCTTTTAGAGAACTGAGATTGTATTTTGTTTCTCTTCATTTACTAATGTCCAGTAAAATGACTGACATGTTGTAGGGTGCTCACTAAAGGTTTATGGAGTGAATGTGCTCTACTCACCAGAGCCTTGTTTTCCTTAAAAGGATGTGAAGCTCAGAAGTGGGGACCTGAATGTAACCGTGTCTGCACTGTGTGTATGAACAATGGTGTCTGCCATGAAGATACAGGAGAATGCATTTGCCCACCGGGATTTATGGGGAGAACCTGTGAGAAGGGTAAGTCAAGAGCACTAGATGAGTAAATTGTGGATTTCAAAAGCAATCCCTGGGGCACCTGGGTGGAGTGGTTGAGCATGTGCCTTAGGCTCAGGTCATGATCCAGGATCCTGGGATTGAGTCCCACATCAGGCTCCCTGCAGGGAGCCTGCTTTTCCCTCCTGCCTATGTCTCTGCCTCTCTCTGTGTGTCTCTCATGACTAAATAAAGAAAATCTTTAAATAATAATAAAATAAGAAATAATAAAAAGCCATCACTGCTGGAGGTAGAATTTTAACTCTGGAAACCATTTGGGAACAGAAACTACATGGACCATGTTAGGCCATGTGGAAACTCCGTGTGAACTAGAAAAAGATACCCTTTCCTAAAGGTTCTTTATTGATGATCAATACTGTCTGTTCATGCCATAGCTGAGACTGGATTATTTTCCACATTCACTAGGAGAGACCCTTAAAAGAAGACTCATACATTTCAAGGGGTTGAATATTTGACTCTGAATCATCTTTTTTCCCCCCCAAAGCTTGTGAACTGCACACATTTGGCAGAACTTGTAAAGAAAGGTGTAGTGGACCAGAGGGATGTAAGTCCTACGTGTTCTGTCTCCCAGACCCCTATGGGTGTTCCTGCGCCACAGGTTGGCAGGGTCTGCAGTGCAACGAAGGTATGTATCAATCACACCCCTGAACAGAAAAAGTTCTAGTGGGTTTACCAAGGAGATCCAGCTTGCTGGAAATAATAGAGTAAAAATACACCTGAACTATTCACTCAACTATCCATTGCTGAATTACAGGGTTTTAAATCAGAGATGTTTTCATCTCAAGTTAATTATGCTTTCATAATTAAGACTCTGGACCTTATAGAAAGTGCTTCTCATGCACATCATCTGGGGTTCTTATTAAAACACAGATTCTGATTCCATAGGTCTGGACTGGCACCTGAGTTTCCGCATTTCCAAGAAGCTCCCACATGGTATTCATGCTGCTGGTTTTCAGACCAACTTTGAGTTGGAAAGCCATAGAGATTTGTTTTTTCAGTGGGCTATAGATATCAGAGCTCTTAGTTCTGATCCAGACAGAATTTGGGATTTGAAAATAGAGGAAGATCTTTTCTTCTGTGGACATTATGTAGGCAGCACTAACTTCACCTACTCAAAGATTCCCTCTGCCCTGTCTAAAACATACCTGCCTGTTTGGTGAGGCTCAGTGGTATAAGTTTTACATCTTTGCCGTATGAGTTTCATGTGGGCTCTTACACAGTAGCTTGCCATGACTGGGCAGTCAAGTTTATCAGACCCTCCCTAAGGAATGCTAATGAGGTGGATTGGCCAGAGCTCAAAGGTTTTTCAGAATTTACATCACAAATTCAACTCTCTCCACATCTGGCATCTTGGGAGCTATGATGGGGTCCCAGCAACTTTGTAACGATGTTCTGAGTTAGAGCAGTTCAGTAAAAAATAGAAGCAAGCCGCATATGTAATTCAAAACTTTCTAGTAGCCACCTTTAAAAAACAGTTAAAAAAAAAAAGCAGGTGAAATAATTTTTAGGATTCTATTTCACCCAGTAAATAGCTTGGAAAGAAAAATTGAACTAGTCACCCATAGCCTTAGTTTTCTCCCTTCGTCGGTGTTAACAGGGGTTCTGGTGTCTTTGTTTACAGCGTGCCAGCCTGGTTATTACGGGCCAGACTGTAAGCTCAGTTGCAGGTGCAGCCACGGGGAGATGTGTGATCGGTTCCAAGGATGTCTCTGCTCTCCAGAACGCCAAGGGCTCCAGTGTGAGAAAGAAGGTAAAGCAAGGTAACACTGTAGTTGGCACCATGGTCAGCACGTCTGAACTGAGCTCTGCTGGTTCTGATTCTTACTCCAGAAGCCCAGATTCCTCAAGCCACTTCTGCTTCCATCCAGAAGTTGGGAAGGATATATCCCAAACCCTAAAGGACAACATTCCAGCTCTTTCTACAGGCCCTCCTACTGGCCTTCATTTCTCCTTCCACTAGGAACACATGTATTTATTTGGTGGCACATTGAGTGATGACTGGCTGGCTGGGGGCTCCGCCTGTCTCTTCTGTACCCTTCCCTAGGACCCATCTTCTCCCGGGATATGCACACCAGGGAACTACTCTGGAGGCATTTGGACAAAGGATATTTTTGAAAAGAAAGATATAAAAAAGAAGAAGAAAATTAGAAAACATTACCCTCAAAATGAAATTTTAAATAATTCTAGTTCAGAAAAGACCTTAGAGCAAGGAGTCCACAAACTTTGACCCACTGACCAAATCCAGCCCTCTATTTTTTTTCAGCTCTCTATTTTTTTTAACAGCTTCATTGACATACAATTTTTATACCATGAAATCCATCCCTTTTAAATGTACAGCTGAATGATTTTTAGTATATTTACAGAGTTGTGCAACCATCACCACAATCTAATTTTAGAATGCGTCTGTCATACCAAAAGAAACATTGTCCCTGTTGGCCAGAACTCCCATTCTCTGCTCCCCTCAGCCCCTGGCAACCACAAGTTTACTTTATCTCTATAGATTTACTTATTCTCTTGACATTTCATAAACTATAAATGGGATCACACATTTCATGGTCTTTTGTGGCTGGCCTCTTTCACTGACCATACTGTTTTTGAGGTTTAACTGTATTGGAGCATTTATCAGTACTTCATCCTTTTTCTTTCCCTACCATCTGTTGTTATAAAGAAAATCTTATTGGCATGTAGCCACACGAATTCGTTGAGAATGCATAATCGGTGGCTGCTCACACACTACAGCAGGGTTGGGTAGCTAGTTAGCAGGAACTTTCAGCCTGCAAAGCTGAAAATATTTACTGTCTAGTCCTTTACAGAAAAAGTCTGCTAATTCCTGCCCTAGAATACACTTTTTAAAATTAAAAGAAGCATATTCTTATGTATTTTCAAAATTTAAAAATAATGAACATGTGCTATTTTTTCAATCCTACAAATCAAATGTTACAGAAAGAAATCTACACTCAGGGCAGTAAGACTAAGACCCTTAGGGTTTTTTCTCTGTTCTTTTTTAAAATCAGAACAAACATGGGAGGAAAATACCAACAATTGTTTTTCAAAGGCTTTGGCTAAGCTTTAGGTGTTCACTTCTTTCTCCAGTGTTTGGACTTGGCTGCAGGGCAGGAACCTGGGAGGGTCTAGGAAGGGAAGGAAAGGCCTTGGGGCTGCTGGAGGATTGGGTTGAAAATAGCTAACAAGCCAAAGGATTTGAATTTTCAATTTTATGCCTACTTTTCTGTTTTGAGCCTGAGGTTGCAAAAGGTGTGAGAATCTCAGACCCAGATCCAGGCCTTCCACTTTCGGAGAGAAGCCCTCCTCCCCCTTCCCGGATTCTGCTCCACCTCCACCTGCACACCCAGGCTCACCTCTGGAGGACTGCAGGAAATACCCAGTGGCAGTATAGGACAGACTTAACCGCCTTACTAGTGTCAAAGCACTTTTTAAAATTCCTATGCGGGGCAGCCCGGATGGCTCAGCGGTTTAGCGCCACCTTCAGCCCAGGGCGTGATCCTGGAGACCAGGGATCGAGTCCCACGTCAGGCTCCCTGCATGGAGCCTGCTTCCCCTCTGCCTGTGTCTCTGGCTCTCTCTTTCTCTCTGTCTCTCATGAATAAATAAGTACATAAATAAGTAAAAATAACTATGCGAATAACTTCTTAGGATGAAAAATCTGGTAGATTCTAATCATAATCCCTTCAAGTCTACAGATAGGTCAAAGAATTACCCTTGTAGTTCTTAGACCCCTTTTTTTCCGGCTCCATAACTTACTGCATTCTAGGTCAGAGACAAAGGACATCAATAGAAAATACGAATGTTGTGTTTACTGTGTCCCTGCCTCCTCCACCTCCTCTCCCTGGCCCCCAGAACCAACGGCTTGCTGCTCTTGCGGGGGCACTTCTATTATCCACATTCTTCACTAAGTGCTGGACTATTTTCTACCGTGTCTCCTGTTTAGTCACAAAGGGTCTGAGGGTCTCTGGAGCCCTACAATTCAGAATAAAATTGTTAAATTTCAGGATTATTCATTCTCTACAGTGTAGGTATGAGGCAAGGAGTCCTGATACCCTTTTTGCCACCAGAGACATTTTCTTTAAGTATTGGCAGCGACACTTTTCATTTGGCTGTTGCCTAGAAACCAGTTTGGGGCTGTAATTCTAGTCCACTTCACTTCTTGCATATAAATGTGAGTGGTTTTCATCGCCTGCTACTTGCAGATTCCCAATCAGTGGGGATCAAAATGGAGGATCATGTTGGTCAGCAGCAATATCGTGGGTTTGTTTTCTGAGTCAAAGAGGACCTCATTTTTATTTTTGTTTTTTGCTTTTGTTTTTGTTAACATTCTCTTAAAAAGTAAAAGTTGTTGAAAGGTAAGGCCAGGGAAGATGTGGCCATGATGAACATCTTAACCTAGAGACTGTCTGTGCCAGATCCACTGAGGGGAGCACAGCATTATGGCAGAGTGTGGACTCTGGATTCATATAGCTCTGAGCCTCAGTCTTCTCATCTGTAAAATGGAGACTGCAATAGCATCCCCCCGCAAGTTTATTAAAACAATATAATATTTGCAAAGTTCTTAACTGGGATGTGACTTGTCAAATGGTAGCAGCTTTTATTACTGTTGCTGTGTCAAAGATTAGATTTCACAGTGCTGTTTTCCTCATGCAGGCATGCCAAGGATGATCCCAAAGATAGAGGATTTGCCGGATCACATAGAAGTAAACAGTGGTAAATTTAACCCCATCTGCAAAGCTTCTGGCTGGCCACTACCTGCCAATGAAGAAATGACTCTCGTAAAGCCAGATGGGACAGTGCTCCATGTAAGAGTTATTTCTAATCTGACTTCCGACACTACTAATGCTTTCTATTGTAGTAATCACCTCTCTCAAGGCTACATTCCACCCTGGGCTTGCATCCTCTGAACCTGGTATGTTGTTAGCTTGGACAAAATGCCATGTCCCTGGGGAGGTAGAGCAGATTCACTGCAGCCTGGCCAGTGCTATAGTGCAAGGTTAGAAAGAGACGACCACAGTGGAATTGATGAAGATGAGTCCCGAGGATGGGACTCGTCCTGTAGAACTTTCTTTGTGTTTTGAGAGGTATATGTCAGCCTGTGCAGGTTCTACTCCTCACAATATCCCCATGTTCTAACTTCTCATATCAGGAAGAATGAGGTGGTCCTGTGGCCACCAAAGGGTGTGGCAAGGTGTGGCCACATGAATCAGCAGGAGATTCATGTGTTACCTACCATGTGCTACAGGAAATGGAACTTTGATGACTGGTCTACTTCTATTGTGCTCTTTGGAGCAAAAATTAGCAGAGTATGAAAGACAGGAGTTCAGTATAATTTATTTGACTCTAGATAGGATCTACTCCCACATTTCCCATTCAGAGATAATCCATAGAATCCCTTGGATCTGAATACATTCCTTGGGCCCCCTACCTCTAGACTCTGCCCTGTTGCCTTGTTGCTCAGCACTGGTTAGAGTGCTGTCATAGCAATTCTTTTTTGCTGGAGAGGACTAAGCAACTTTTCCAATATGTTTCCCTTCTTTCTTCCAATAATCTCAAATGCACCAAATTTCTCTGTGTCACAAGTGATCTTCAGGAAGTTGCTGTATTTTCCTATCTAAAATTTTTGAAATGCTTATCTGTTTTTTTTTTCTCTCAAAGATGACTGAAAATCAACTTGACAAGAGGGTAGATGTGAGTGGCCTCGTGGGGGCAGGATATGTAGAATGTGCCATTACTGGTTTCTACACATCAGATGTTCCTGATTCCACTCAACTCATTAGGTAGTGAAGCCAACTGACAGCTTCTTAAAATCTTGTTGGCCTTTTCCTGGGTTAGTGGAAGTAACAGCTACCATCTAGTAGTGTAGAGGGTCAACCATGCTATATGCAACATGCTGCATAATATTATCTGTCCTCTTTCTATACAAGTGGAAATTGGTCAGGTGAAGTTGAATAAGGAATTGGTCAAAAGTGACAGAGTAGGGATGTGAATTGAAGTCTGTGTGTCTTCAGAGCCCTGATTTTTCCCGCAGTTTTGTGGGTTTCAGTAGTGCAGTTATAGTGTAGATAGTTCCCAATTATTTCAGGGAGCTATTTTGTCATCTCACCCAGCCATCTCTGTATTCAACCAGGAAGGAACAAATGTTACCAGAGCAATTTAAAGGAATTAGGTTCCTAGCCTGTAAGTGTTTACTCCACACTCCCAAACACACAAACACAACAGCAGGATCTGAGAGGGCATCAATCCAATATAAACTTACAGGGCTACTACAATAGCTTTGGAAATAAGCCAATGATTATACTAGCATTGCATTTGGCTTCCTAATCTCTCCTTAGAAAACTTCTTATCAAACAATGAGATGGGGTCAGTGTTATGGGCCTTTCGTGTGTTTATGCCTCCCTAGAAGCTTTTATTTGTATTTGACCCTTCCAGCCAAAAGACTTCAATCTTACGAGTCATCTGTCAGTGGCCACATTCACCATCCACCGGATCCTCCCCCCTGACTCAGGAGTCTGGGTCTGCAGTGTGAACACAGTAGCTGGGATGGTGGAAAAACCTTTCAACATTTCTGTTAAAGGTAAGCTCCATTTTCTAGAGGAAGAGCTTGCATCCTCAGTACATTGTGTTTATGTATCTTTGGGTGCTGCTCCAAGATAGAAATGTTACCTGAATACTAAAATGCTTTGGAAAATTTCCAGGATACTACACTTTGAAATTTTTTTATATGCATGAAAATGGAAAGGAGGGATTAAGTATATGACCTTTGGAGTTACACAGCCCTGGATTTGATTTTTGTCCCTAATAGCTAGAAAACTTGTATATAGCCCTGAGCAAATGAATTTAACCTCTCTGAGTCTTTCTTGATTTGAAAATAAAGCTTAGTTTATCTACCTCTCCGGATTACTGTGAAGATTTGTTGAATATGCAAAACACCTGGAATTGTGTCTGGCACAACATATCTAGTAGTGTTTATATTACATGAAAAGTTTGACTTCATCATTGTTGTGAGTTCCTATTCATTATTGTGCAGGATAATTTGGAAAATACTTTGAGAATTACTCATGTATTATGAAGTCCAGGCTATGCTGTATAATGAACACAAATAATTTTTTCACATATTCAGCATTGATTATTCTTCCTGCAGTGAATTAATATTTCAAAATTCACATTAATTAAGTAGAGAGGTATGCATTTGTGGTTGAGGGGAAAATGCAACATGGAGGTAAATCCAAGTTAGCTTGGCTGGTATACATAAATACTGCAAGGAATTTTAAGTTTGGAAATTTCTTATGAACCCATTTAAACAAAACAGCTAACAGCTCTCTGATATATTTTGTTGAAAGGCACTGGGCTAAGTACATCACATAAGTCATCTTATTTAATTTTTATAAGAACTTTGTGCAACAGATATTGTTATCACCACTTTACCAGAAAGAAAAGAAGATTCAGAGGGTTTAGTGAACTTGTTTAAAGTAGCATATCTGTTAAGGAGTAAGTCTTAGTTTTGAACCTGGGTCTCCTGAATCCAAATAATGCATCATCATTTCTAGACCATTTTGTTTTCTGAGTCTCCTCTGTTAAAGATTAGGAGTAAGATAACCAATGTTGATTTGTATTTTACCCATTTTGTTACTTGATTAGGAATCTTTGGGCTGTCTGAGAGGTAACGTCCATAAATGAAATAAATGTAAGTGCCCAGAAGATAATCTTTTTTAGAAGACCAATAACAACATTAGCTTAAATATAGCCTTGTAGATTGGATTCTCTACCCTGAACATCCACATAAACTGCCACAGAATTGTTAATATTCTTTTGGATTACTGGAAAAGGCCTTGATCTGTTTTATCACTAGAACATTCACATGACCAAATTATTTCTTATATCTTACATGTTCTTGAAAGGGAGGAAATGATATGCAGACAAGACAAATTACCTTATTTTTAAGCTTCTTGGAATGCTTGCTAGACATGGAAAATAAATAAGTCAAAAATAAACCATGTTGCTAAGATTCAGAAGAGTCAGTTCTAATTTTTATTTTTTAGTAGAAGACACAGCACACAACATCAACGCATAGAAGTGCATAGAAGCATCTGTAGTATTGTTATTGATGTCATATTTATAATGACTTAGCTCTACATGATGGTTAGCTCTTAATGATTTAGCTCTTCATGTCATATTTACTAATATCTATAAAATGAAAATAGGTGTATTTACTGATATTTATAAAATGATAATTAGGTAAATTAATCAGTGTCTTTAATCATAGTACTTTTTTAAAAAGATGTGAGGATTTTTTTTAAAGATTTTATTTATTTTATTCATGAGAGTCACAGAGAGAGAGAGAAGCAGAAAAACAGTCAGAGGGAGAAGCAGGCTCCATGCAGGGAGCTGATGCGGGACTCGATCCTGGGTCTCCAGGATCATGCCCTGGGCCAAAGGCAGACACTTAACCATGGAACCACCCAGGTGTCCCAGATGTAAGGATTTTACTACCAGAATACAAGTTGGTACAATCAATTTGGAAAACTGAAAATATATGCAAAAGTTAAGCATACATATACTTATGACCTGGCAATTCTCCTTGAGGTATAAGCTCAAAAGAAATGAGTATATGTTCAAAAAAGACATCTTCAGTGTACAGAGCAATTTAATTCATAATACCCCAAACTGAAATTAACCCAAATCTTCATCTACATTATAAAGAATAAATAATTTGTAGTGTAGTCATTCCTAATGGGTTGCTCAGGCTGCTATACAAAGTTCCACAGATGGGGAACCCTGGGTGGCACAGCGGTTTAGCGCCTGCCTTTGGCCCAGGGCGCGATCCTGGAGACCCGGGATCGAATCCCACATCGGGCTCCCAGTGCATGGAGCCTGCTTCTCCCTCTGCCTATGTCTCTGCCTCTCTCTCTGTGACTATCATAAATAAATAAATTTAAAAAAACAACAACAAAGTTCCACAGATGAGGTGGCTTAACCACAGGAATTTATTTTCTCAAGTTCTGGAGGCTAGGTAAATGATCAAGGTGTCAGCAGAGTTGACTTCTCCTGAGGCCTCACTTCTTGGTTCATGAATGGCTGTCTTTTCCCTGTATTTTCATATGGTCTTCTTCTGTGTGTGTGTCCGAATGTATTCTTCTTATAAGGGACAACAGTTGTAATGGATTAAGAACAACCTTAATGACCTCATCTTGACTTCATTACCTCTTTAAAGACCCTGTCTCCAAATAAAGTTAGCTCCCAAGGTACTGGGGGTCAAAACTTCCACATAAGAATTTGGGGGGAAACACAGTTCAGCTCATAACATCATACCGTGGAATATTAAACAGAAATAAAAAAGAATTAATTCCTGCAACAATATGGATATCATGGACACAATAACGAGCAAACAAAAATACATGCTTTGTGATTCCATTTGTCTAAAGTTAAAGACAAGGCAAAACTAACTGAAAGTGACAAAAGCCAGGATAATAGTTCCCTATTGACGGGAAAGGGTCACAAGAGTGTCTTCTGGGGGGCTGGAAATGTTCCTTGTCTCAATCTGGGTGATTGTTACATGAGTGTGTACACAGGTAAAGTCCCTCAAGCTAAATATACTTAAGATTTTTGCACTTTATGATATGTATATCTCAGTACAAATTATTAAAAGACAAAAAATAAAATGATATATTACTAAGAGGAACCTTTGGAGCAATTTGTTTCACGCTTATAAAAGTATCACAAGATACTAGTATTTATAGCTACAATAAAATAAGCATTTGCTGTTTTAAGCAAAGAGGTGGTGTTATTTGCTCATATAAGGGAAGCATGACTTAACAAATGAATTTATTCACAGAAGTGCACTCTTCTCAGAAACTACTGTAAGTAAAAACACTAGCAGAATCTGAAAGATCCTATATTATATAACATACATATTTGGGTGTGTTTTTAAGGATGGGCTGACAGAGCTGCAGAACTTACTAGAAATTCAATTGTCAAACATTTATGCAGCCCCTGTAAACCATATATGGTCTTTGCCCTAATGGAGTTTAGAGTCCATTGCGATGTTTTACAATATTTTGATCACTATCACCTTTACCAAGGAACCCCTTTAGAAATTTATTCCCAAACTCTCCTCCCATCACCATAAAATGTTAATATAATGAATATACTGCATATCTATTTGTGCACTGTGGCCCTTTGGAAGGCCACAACCATTGTAATATCTAAGGCTTTTTCAATCCTGAGAGAACCCACTTTAACCTACATGGGGGTGCTATTTCACCCTATTGAGAATATATGGTCTTTAAGGTGGGCAGATTATTCTAAATTATCTGGTGGACCTACTCTAATCATATGAGTCTGTAAAATTAGAGAATTTTACCTAGCTATAGTCAGAAAGAGATATCACAATGAAAGAAGGATCAAAGATATATGATGTTGTTGACTTTGAAGATGGAGGAAGGGACCACAAGCCAAGGAATGTAGGTGGTTTCTAGAAGTTGGAAAGAACAAGGAAACAGAGTCTCCTTTGAGCTCCCTTACAGCCCTACTGACACCTTGATCTTAGCCCAGTGAGACCTATGTCTGACTTCTGACCTCCAGAATTGTAAGAATAAATCTGGGTTGCTTTAAGCCAAGGAAGAGAGAAAGAGAAAGAGACCATGCATAGTCTAGAAGAAGACCAATATCAAATGATCACACAAAATCTCTAAGAATAATAAATTCTGAAAATTGCAATGAACTAACAGGGTGAGTTCTTTGAAGCCCAACTGAGGTTCTGGTATAACCCCTTTGAAGAAGTCCCATCAGAGCTGATTGCTGAATGATCCCCTAAGAGGTAACAGGGAATGGTGGGAGGTCTAGGTACATTGCTTACGGGAGAACAGTATTTACAAAAAATCGGAGACAGAAAGGAGACGGGGTGCATTGTTAGTTGGATGAATTGAAAGATCAGTGGCACTGGATGGTATCGGGTGAGGGGAAGAGGAGGCAGGGGCTCAATTGTGTAAGGCCTGGCAGGTCACAAAATGAATTTTGGATTTTATTCTAAACATGATGGGAATCCATGATAAGGACTTGAGCAGGGGAGTGATCATATTTTAAGACATACTTTGTGGATAGTGGTTTGGAGGGGCAAGAGCAAAGCCAGGAGATCACAGCACAGGCGACTGCATTGAATCTGAACAGAGAACTCTAAGAGTGATACAGGAGACTGGGGGAGTTCTTGGGCCCTGAGACTTCAACCACCAGCTGGTGCTAGGTTCTTGACTTCGTTATGAGAAAGAATTCAAGCAGTTCAGAGTATAGCAGAAATTTTATTGCAAAGCCAAAGTACACACCGAAAGGGGATGGGCAGAGTGCAGCAGGTACACTCTGATACAGGATCTAAGTCACCCTGGTTGGACGCAGAGTCATGCTTTTTATGGATAGTCATAAGGAGCAGGTGATAGATTCTTGAAAGGTTCTGGGAATAGGTGGGGACTTCTAAGAAATCTGCATATCATTACTCATTCTGTATGTCAGCTACTATGTGCAGGCGCATCCTAATTTTTCTCTTACAGATATTTCATAGTCAAGATGTGCAAGGAGTACTTTAGCACCCCCCAGTGAAGGAGTCATTCTTTGTCATTTGCAGGCTAATCTGTGTGCATGCGCACCATGGGCTTGAGCAACAACAGGATGCTTATGGCCCTGAGAAACCAGAGAGCTATCACAGATTTTACTCAGTTGTCACAAACACTGTCAGGTATCAGACTGCATTCCCTGTCTTTTGTTTGCAGTTACCCAGTGTTTCACTATTGTACCTGCCTCAAGAGGGTTTTGTTGGAAATGTAAGGTCACTAATCCTCTATCCCCACCATAGAGCAATAATCCAACTCCAAAGACTAATCTGATTGTTGAAAATTTTGTTTAGTTCTTCCAAAACCCCTGAATGCCCCAAACGTGATTGACACTGGACATAATTTTGCTGTCATCAACATCAGCTCTGAGCCTTACTTTGGGGATGGACCAATCAAATCCAAGAAGCTTCTATACAAACCTGTTAATCATTATGAGGCTTGGCGGCATATTCAAGGTAAGATTTGAACAGGAAAGATTCAACCTAAAGAGGTGGCACCAGGAGAAAAAAAAATCCTCAAATATAGAAATCCTCTCTCCCACTCTCATTTCTCTGCCCAAAGGTAATGGCTGTAGCAGAGGATTCCATTTCAGAGTATTAGAGAATTACCTACCAAACCTTAGATATCACCATGCCTCTGATTTCCTAAAAAGGGCACTCTTCCATACTGTATATAGGTAATTGAGGAAATTACTAAAAGGAGAACAAAAGGAAGTTTTGGCTTAATGTTAACCCAGCTGACCTGGATATGTTGAACTAAGTCATGACACTGTTACTGAGCCCTGCACATTCTATTGTAGACTCATCCAAAATTCAGAATCCCAGTGACGTAAGGCTAATTTGCTAAGTTGCTGTTGACAATATCAATGGGTAGGTCTTATAAAAAGCAGCTTTTTTTTCATATAGTGGTAATAATCCATTGTCACTTTCTGCAAGTGGACATCCACAAAGTGTTCTTCTAACAACTCTTAAACACAGTCCATTTTTTTTTCTTACCAACTGGGAATTTATCATATGGTAAGATAGTACTTCTGCAATACCTGTGGAGAATAGAGGCTGACTAAAACAAAAACTAAGGAGAAAAGATGCATATACTATTTGTCTATGGGATCTATTTTCAATTACTCTAGAACTCTTCATTTATAAATGGCACGAGTATTATAAATCTGCTCTCTGGTCTTTGTAAACAAACCCTCAAAGAATCTCTTCTGTTGATAGCTTGATTGCAATCACTATGTATTTAAAAACAGTGGCAATTAAATTATTTTATATCCTTTTGATTGAATTTTCCCCCCTTAAATCTAATTGTTATTTCGTATAGTTGAAGATTTGTGTGGTTTTACCCTACAGATGAAAAGACAAACGATAGAGCAGAAGTGATTAAATGGCTCAAGGAGGCTTACATTAAAGTATGCATTGTAACCTGGAAACTTCCTTTAAAAAGTCTCATTTTCTGGGATCCCTGGGTGGCCCAGCGGTTTAGCGCCTGCCTTTGGCCCAGGGCGCGATCCTGGAGACCCGGGATCGAATCCCACGTCAGGCTCCCGGTGCATGGAGCCTGCTTCTCCCTCTGCCTGTGTCTCTCCCTCTCTCTCTCTCACTGTGTGCCTATCATAAATAAATAAAAATTAAAAAAAATAAAAAATAAAAAAAAATTATAAAAAAAAAAGTCTCATTTTCCTTCTGTTAGGAATAGTGAGGCCCTGAAGGGGGGATTGCCTATTTTACTTAGACATTGTATTTTTGAAAACTAAACACTAGTTTACATCACAGTAACAACATTCCATTTTAAACAATGTACAAGAATGCCAACTTAAGTTTCCTGGACTTTCCCTCTTCTCAGTGACAAACGAGATTGTTACACTCAACTACTTGGAACCTCGCACAGAATACGAGCTCTGCGTGCAGCTGGTCCGGCGTGGAGAGGGCGGGGAAGGGCATCCGGGACCAGTGAGACGGTTCACAACTGCTTCTATCGGTCAGTGGAAGCAGACGGCATTTATTCCTGCAGTGGCTGGGAGGGGGGAGGAAGGGGAAAGAGGAAGGAAGACCAGGAAGGGTGGTGGTGGGTGAGTGGGTGGGTGGGGATGCTGGGGGAAGGAGTTTGCTTTTGAATGGGTGGGAAAGTGACAGGAAGGTTGGTAGCTTGGAGCCAAATCCTTCTTTGATTTGGGCTGCACTCCTGGTCTCTGTCCCCAGGGGAGGGTGTCTGCAGCAGTATGGGGACAGAGGAGGAAGCAGATGAGCCTTCAGGAAGGCAGGGCCATCCCTTAGGAACAGGGATTTACTTAGCAGCAACTGCTTGGCTCCTGAGTTTTACTAAAAGCTTCCTGTTTCCATCATCAGGGCCTATGCCAGACTCTCGCCACATACATACTTCAGAAATCCTGGTTTATTTATTTTTAAAACTAATTTCTAATTTTTCAAAGTTAATTCATGCACAGAGTTAAAACATCAAATACAATGAAAGGACTTTTTTTTTTTTAAGGCTTTTTATCTAAAGAACAGCAGACCCCTGTTCCACCTTTCCACCTCCCAGTACTGCTTCCTACAGGTTCTCAAACATTAGAATCCATAAGAATTACCTGAAGAACTTATTAAAACAGATTTCTGGGCCCCACCCCCAGAGTTTCCAATTTGGTAGGTTTGAGGTAGGTGTTAGACTCAAGATTTTACAGCTGTAAAAAGTTGACAAGTTGTATTTGATGTTGCTGATCCTGGGTCCCTACGTTCTAAGTAATATATGTAGCAATAGTTCTTTGATTGATCAATTTTAGTATCTATTGCCCTTCTACCGTGTTAATTGAGGGTCCCTTGAATTTGTGAAGTTTCCTTGATACTAACTTAGGCTCCAGCTTTCCGCTACCCAGGTACCTCTCTCTGGAACAAGAAGGTGATCACTTGTAAAGTTTATTTTCTAGTGTTCACTCTATATAATCATTTGTTACTGTCTCCCAGTCAGCTTTATAGTTTGAAGTTCACGTAAATTTAATTCATATTATCTTAAAGGGTAAGAATTATCTTCCCTATTTTATAGATTGACAAGTAGAGTCTCAGAGTGGTTAATAAATTGATCTTTAGGCTTCACATCCTTTTATTTCTTCAGTTATTATTATTTTTTTACCTAGGAGCCCAGAGAGACCATTTCTTTATCCTAGTTGGTCAATTTTTCTTATTTTTAGCCCACTTCCTAAAGGCAGAAGGAACTAGAATGAGTTTGCTGTCCTGAAGGGGTGGTGCATCCCTAACAGACACTACCCTCTTTGCTCACCACTTCTCCCTCCTAGTTTTCATCCCACCAGCAGCATCCTTAAAGAACCAAATGGGACTCAGGAACTTCTCTGGTGCTTATAGAAGCAATGCACCAATAAGGGAAGGTTTCCCAGGAACTGACCAGGTAGCAAATAGAAAAAACACCAGAAACTGTAAGTTAGAAGATAAAGAGATCAAAAGAGGCTTCTGCTCTGTGGTCATGTTGCTGTTAAGAGGCAAATGGTAGTTAATTCTCTCTCTGGCCAGTTGATGAATCAAAGGGGAAGGTCATAATCTGACTCAGATGGAAAGTATTTAGAGAACAGATCATAAAACACTTCACAGACCCACACTGCACTGTCTTCAGCACTCAGAATATGTTCCAGCCAGGATGTATTTAGAAATGTCTTGGAATATTTCAAAGTAGTTCTCAGGGGTAGGTGGGGAGGGAATTCTTGAAGGTTCTTCTTTTCCCATCATTTGAATTTTGCTGATGTTTGTTTTTTAATTCATCCGGCAGTTGTACTATTTATAAGTTTGTTGATTTAATGTAGAGGCCAGGAGGCCCGGAGGGGAGGCAAGAGAGAGAGATCACACTCTGAACACATGGCAGAGAGAGGGCAGGTAGGGAGAAGTGGAGGGGAAGTCATGTTCCTGAAGGAAAGGAAAAAGCGAAATGACCATTATCGAGTTACTCCTCTGTATCAAGCATAGGCTCCGGGGGTTTACATATATGCCCCAAAACATCAGTCCTCCCTTCCGCTTTGTCGTTAGAAGCTTGCCTGGCCCTTCTGGGTGGCTTCTTTTGGGACTTAAACTTCAGAGATGAGCAAAAGGAGCTGACACCCCCTCTTTCAACTTGTAAAGGATATAAAGAGTAATAACTATTTAGAGTAATAAATGTATTAATATTAAATAGTTAAAATAATGATTTAATTTTCAAAGGCTACAGAGAATAATTATTGCTTTAGCATAATGCCAAGCAAGTTGTGAGACCTCCATAGTGTAACAGCAGGCAGGAGTCCCTGTCCCAGTGTATGGAAACAGACCCTTCCTCTTACCTCTAACCCAAAGGAGAGAGAGCAATTTCTCAACCTTTACTCCTTTTCCTCTCTCTCCTGCTCTCCTCCTCCCCCTCTTCCTTCAATCACTGCCCTCATTAGATATCTGTGTCCTTAGGACAAAATGTCTCTTTTGTCCTAATATCTCCCCTGCCATGAATTTTAATACCACAGATATATATATATATATATATATATATTACACAGATATATATATATACATAATACATTTTAATACAATTTACATACAATTTAATATAATTTAATATAATATAATTTAATTTAATTTAATACAATTTACATACAATTTAATACAATTTAATACAATTTAATATATATATACAACATACATTTTAATACCACAGATATATATATATATGTAATATATATATATTACATAAGCCACTGTAATATCAAAAATGTTGTTATATCCCAGGAACCAATTTTTGCCCCCTTAGGGGGCAATAATGTCCCCACTCAGAATGTGTAAATTAGAGGATCCCCTTTCTATGTTTTGAAAATACTTAGTATCTGGAATTTAAAAGTCAATTTACTATTATTATAACTGAAAATACACAGAGTCCTTCTCTGTGCATAGACACAAGATAAGACAGGAAGGGAGGGAGGAAGGGAGGAAGGAAGGAAGGAAGGAGGGAGAGCAGGTTATGTAAGAGACCCTGACTCCTTCTAAGCATTTTCACATCCATTATCCCATTTGCTCCTCCTGAGTCTGAAAGATAACTATTTCCATTTTGTGTAACGTGAACTTGGAGAGCTCATGAATTTTGCCAAGGCCACAAAGCTAGGCATTCTCCTATCTCTTTCATGTCAAAACCCATATTGTTTCCATTCAGGTACCTGTCTGGTAGCCCAGGTTCTTGGCCAGGGCAGCATGTGGTCATAGCTAAGACCTTGATGTGATGAGAGCAGGGCTTGGCCAAGTCATGTTACAATGTTTGAAATTCTTGCTACAGGGAAGTAACCCTGAAATTGCCTTAAAAGATATTACTCAAAATCATAATAGAAATATGGAATAGTACCCACCCCCATCCCACAACCTTGGAAAATCCATGTTTTAATTTTTATCAGTTTCCTCTCTATTCTTCACCAATTGTAGCCATGACTTTTACCATGTTGCAATCACAGCTTTTTTTTCCTCACATATTAGAAATATTTTTATTGGCCTCCCATACTATTCCCAGTGATCTATTTTAATCCATTGGATGATTATATCATAATCTATTAAAGTGTTTTCCTATTTTGAGCATTTAGGATTCTTCTGATTGTTTGATATTATAAATAATGTCATAATATATGTCTTCATGCACTTAGGTTTTTCTCTCCCTTTGGATTATTTCTTCAGGATAAATCTCTATATGGTCAGATTATGGGACCAAAACAGACAGTCATTTCTACAGCTCTTGAGAAATATTCCCCAGTTGTTCTCTAAAGGGATTCCTGTAGTGTAATTACTCAAACTACAAGATTAGAATTGTTATAAAGATTGGCACTTTTAATAGAAAAAAAGTACTAGACTGCTAGCTTGTGTTTCTTTGATGGTTCATGACGTTGTGTATTAGTCTAGATGCTAAGGTTATTCTGTAAAGTTGCCTTTTGGGGATGTTTGTGCTCCATCATATGCAAAAAATAATGATCTAGGGGTGCCTGGCAGTACAGTCAGTAGAGTATGTGACTCTTGATCTTGGGGTTTTAAGTTCAAACCCCACTTTGGGAATAGAGCTTACTTAAAAATAAAATCTTAAAAAAATCATGATCCTTTTGGTTTCTTCCAGGTCTTCCTCCTCCAAGAGGTCTCATCCTCCTACCAAAAAGTCAGACCACTCTAAATTTGACCTGGCAGCCAATATTTCCAAGCTCAGAAGATGACTTTTATGTTGAAGTGGAGAGAAGGTCTGTGCAAATGAATAGTGACCAGCAGAATATCAAAGTGCCAGGCAACTTGACTTCAGTACTACTTAACAATTTACACCCCAGGGAACAGTACATAGTCCGAGCCAGAGTCAACACCAAGGCCCAGGGGGAATGGAGTGAAGATCTCATTGCTTGGACCCTTAGTGACAGTAAGTAACTAATGTGGCACCAACCTTGACTGAATGACATTTGGCTGCTGCCACTTGGACTTAGCTACCACCAAGTCAAGACTGTTTGCTAGAAATCATGAAAGGCAGTTAATTGTGAATGGAGGCTAATTGGTGCCCCACCCCAATGCAGCAAATCATTTAAATAACTGGTAATATGTAAGGAACCTTCATATATTTGAATTTGCAATAATCCAGGCAGGAGTGTGCTAAGATTTCCATTTCCTTGGTATGGAGTTATTAATTAAGTAAATTAATAGCATGGATAAGGTTTCCTAGGATTTGTTTAATTTGTTATAGGATAATTTTCAGGATTTTCCTGTTTCTTCATACACATAGATGCTGGTTAATTAGATAGGTCTTTCCTAATCTTAAAAGTCAAATGACTCTGCTTGAAAAATCTTCATAGTAGATAATTCTTGGAGTTATAAAATATATTTGAGAGTGATAAAACCTTTTTTTTCCCTTCAAAATATTCTGTAGCTCAGGATTTTTTTTATTTCAGATCAGTCATTTCAAATTAGTTGGAAGTTCTTGGGTTTCTTGGTAGTATTGAAATTCTTTCATTATTAAGCAAAGAGTTCTTTTTTGATTCACTGCATTAGAACTGTGTCTGTGCATTTTAGAGTCCTTGGAAAGATTAAATATTTCTTAGCCACATCAACCACCACTTACGTTAGGATCATGGGGTTCCTTGCCAACACCCTATGTCTGAGGCTCTCTTTGGCAGCTGCATCTCCATTTGCTCAATCCCAGATATAGAAACTGGCTCCGTGTTCTTCCAGCCACTCTCTTGTATCAGTGACATGTGGAAGTCTCAACTGCTTTGTCAGTGTTCAGGGATTGTTCATCATTTTTTAAGAGTTCTGTGAAAATAAAAAATTACAGAATAGTGCAGAGAAAAATACAACAAACACATTCCTACCACCCAGAATTAACTACTGTTAATATTTTGTCATATTTGTTTTCAGCTTTTTTGTTGATTTGTGGAAGTAATGGCACAATACAGACAGATCACAAGGCCCTTGAACCATCATCCCTACTCCTGTTCTATGGCCTATTCCCCAGAGACAACTCAATTATGAGTTTGCTGTGTATCTTTCCATTCAAGGTTGAATCAGCACAATGTGTTAGATTCATCCCGTAAGTGTGCATATGCATACATACCATTCTTCATCTCGTTTTGTGGAATAAATGCTATGATTTCCATCTTACCCATGTTCATTGTTTAGATCTGACATATATTTTTTTAAACTTCTGCATAATATTTTTATCCATTCCTTTTGAGGTGGACATTTAAGTTCTTTCCATCCTTCCTACCTTCCTTCCTGTATCACTTCCTTCCTTTTTTTTTTTTTTAACTTATCCCAAACAAAAATGCAATGACCATCCTTATACAGGTCTTCAGGTGCATAGATGTGACAGCTTTTCTAGGGGATATGTCCCTACATCCATTTCTGTATATATATCCTTTCCCTATCCATTTCTGTATATATATCCTTTCCCTATATCTATACCCCTTGATGTTGAAGACCTTTGTATCATAATATCAAAGGTAAAAGATGGTACCCCACTGTTAATTTCAATTTTAATTTTCTTGGTAACTAGCAGTGTTGAGCATCTTTTCTTAGGCATTTGGATTTCCTCTTTTTGATGCATTTGTTGATACACTTTGCCCAGTTTCTATTGGTTGTCTTTTCTTGTAAAAAGTTGTTTAGGGGCACCTGGCTGGCTCAGTAGTTGAAGCATATGATTCATGATCTTGATTTGTGGGTTTGACCCCTGTATTGGGTGTAGAGATTACTTTAAAAAAACCTTAAGAAAAAAAGTTGTTTCTATAATCTGGATACTAATTTTGTTACACACATTGCAAATATTCACCTAATCTCCTTATTTACACCTTGTCTGTGGTGTCTTCTACCTACAGATATTTTACATTTTGATATAATCAGTCCTCTCAATATTTGCCTTTATGGTTTGTACTTTTTGTGTTTTGGCATTATTCCTTACCCCAAGATCATAAACGTATTCTCTGTATTTTTTCTAATAGTTCTAGCCTTTCATTTTGCATATTTAGATCTTTAAAACATAGGAATGTTATTTTGGTGTAAGTATTTTAATCTTTTTAATTTTAATATTATTTATTCACATATTACAAGCTAATGGTCACAATGCCATACTTTGAATAGTTCCCCTGGTGACTTGTGATGCTTTCTGCATCATATGCCCATTTCTCATATTGGTTTTTTCATTTATTTCTGGTACTCTTTTCTCTTCCATTGATCTTTAATTTTTTTTAAAGATTTTATTTATTTGAGAGAGAGAGAGAGTGTGTGTGTGTGTGTGTGTGTGCATACTCACAAGGGTGGAGGGGAGGGCAGAGAGAATCTCAAGCAGATGCCCTGCTCACGGCAGAGCCCAATAGGGGGCCTGATCTCACGACCCTGAGATCATGACCTGAGCTGAATTCAAGAGCCAGACACTTAACCAACTGAGCCACCCAGGTGTCCCTGATCTTTGTCTACTTTTGATCTGTATATTCCTACCATTTCCAACCTGTTTAACTTACCATAGATTTATGCAGTGTATTGGTAACTGTAGACTGAATCGCTATTTTTTTTCAAAGTTGTCTTAGCTACCCGTTGATTATTCTATGTAAAGTTTACCCTCATTAGAATTATAAATGATCAAAATCATGACAATCAGTATCATAGTTATAAGATTAAATGAAAACTAGCTAGTAGTCACTGAAGGTGGACTTGGCTTGGGCAGTTGTATGGAATCAGATGAGGATGAGAGGCATTATGCTGGTGGTAGTGGTAGAGAAGTTGATTGGCATGGTAGCAGCTGGTCCCTCTAGGATCAGGAGATTGGGGCAAGGAGAATATGGATGAGAATATTTTAGTTTTCACTGAAATATTTGTTAATATGCTATGTTGCCATTGGCTGAGCATGCATATAGGTTATTCAGAAGTAAAACTAATGCTTCTAGTTATAAAGCTTATGTTGGTGCCCAGCCTAGCAGTTCCATCTGGTTCAAGTATAAGGAGCAGAATGAATCAGATTTGGTACATGGCCCCAAACATGTGTAAAAATAATATATGTGTGTAATTTTTTTGTATATGTATACGGAGAGTATCTCATTTGACACTTAACTATGACTTTATAAAGAAATTAGAATAGGAAGCATCATCACATTTAACAGATGAGGAACCTACAACAAAGAAGGGTAAGTGACTTGACCAAAGTTATACAGCCATTATGTCATGGGGTTAGAAATCAAATTCACATTTCAGGTTTATGTTTTGTTTGTTTTTGCCAAACCATACTGTCTATTTGTCTCTTTGGACAGGCACTGGACTGTTTTCAAGGCAAGATTGATTCCTGGAGGAATTCCTTTTGCAGTCCTATCCCACCTCTAAATTGTTTATATTCTGATTTGCTTTTCTTAAACTGTTTTAAAATCTACTTTAGAATCTACCTGGGGAAACTGCCAAAATGTTGATTGCTGGGTTCCGATGTCAATGTATCTAAATCACAGATCCACTGAGCTAGCCCAAAGTTGACATCTTTCAGGCATATGGATAAATTCGTAGATGTAAATTTATGTTCTTTAGTTGCCGTCAAAATTAGCAGGTGTCTGCAAGGCACTGCTTCTTTTTGTGACAGACTTAGAATACCACTGGTTTATAAAGTTGAATTTTTTTTGAAGCACAACTATACACTCATTAAACATGTGTTCATAGTAATCTGAAAATGTTAAGAATCCAAATACTCTGTTATCTCCTTATGGGAGATATAAAATATACAGCATCTTGTTACTGGAAGCAAAGAAAATTAAAGCATACTCTTGATTAATTTATTGTGATTTTGGATCATTTACCACCTGCTGGACATTGAGAATGAACATCAGATTTGGAAGACTCAAAATTCAATATCCAATTCTCATAAATTGCCATAGCTACCAAAGGAGTATGACATGGGACATCAACACCATGGGAAAAGGAAACTTAGAATGAAGAAGAATTGCTCAGAATTTAGAATAGAAAGAATATAACCTAAGACACTTCTCAAATGGTCTATTTTGCTTATGGAAAGACAGTAGTATATGGAGTGAAATGGCATGGGTCTACTACTTACTTGGACAAGTACAAGCCCCTCGCATTTTTGAAGTCTCAGTGTTCTCATCTCTAAAATTTGGACAATAAAAATCTCAGCACTGCTCACCTACCTATGTGGTTATGAGGGTCAAGAGGAAACCTGCATATGGAAGCACCTTGTCAACAGCCTTATAGATGTAAGGTATAATAGATTCTGGGGCAAGACCTTGGATTTCTTCTTCCCTGGGGTCATAGAGTATCAAGCTATATAGAGTCAGCAACTTGCCTCTTGCTTGTGCCTTTTATTGGAAGGTATTTGAATGAAAGCGCAGGGATGATTCTATGCATGTCATCTTCACATCTGGAAAACCTCAAAGCATCTCTCTCATCCTGCCCCAGAGTAGAATGTGATCTCTGTTTTCCCCAAATTCCTAAAGTACTTTGTCTATTAAGTCCTTAACACATTTTCTTATGTATACACTGACCGTTACTGTTCTATAAATGCATTTAGGGCAAGGATAGGCTTTTGGGTACAGTGGCTAAGACAATGGACTGTGGAGTCAGACTGCCAGGAGTTGAATTGTATTTCTTCTGTGTAATAGCTGTGTGACCTTGGTCAAGTCACTTTATCTCTGTGGGACTGACTATTTATGATAAGATTGTTATGAAGAGGAAATGAGTTAGTATATGGAAGGGCCTATATAAATGTCAACTCTCATAACTTTTCTGTTCTCCCAAAATCAAAAACAGTATATTTGTGGAGTAATAGAATTTCATGTCTTAATTGAATGCAAGGATGAGAAAATATATGATAATATATGTGTTGCCATTTTCCTGTCTTTGCCATCTTGTCATGTATGTGTAGAATCCACTTCTAATTGATTGGAATTACCATCTGAGAAAACACCTATTTGCCTTTCTTGTTTTATGAGCTGACAGTAAGTATCTCTTGAAAGCATAATAATCTAAGAGATAAAAAAAAATCTAAGAGATAGTAGTGTAACTGAAGTGATTTTTTTTCCTTTAATTTCTAGTTCTCCCTCCTCAACCAGAAAACATCAAGATTTCTAACATCACAGACTCCTCAGCCATGATCTCTTGGACAATCTTGGATGGCTATTCTATTTCATCTATTATCATCCGTTACAAGGTTCAGGGAAAGAATGAAGACCAGCACATTGATGTGAAGATCAAGAATGCCACCATTACCCAGTATCAGCTAAAGGGCCTAGAGCCTGAAACAGCTTACCAGGTGGACATTTTTGCAGAGAACAACATAGGGTCAAGCAACCCAACCTTTTCTCATGAACTGATGACCCTTTCTAAATCTCAAGGTTGGTAGAATGGCCAGGTATTTACCTAAGATTATTTCTGGAGAGTATCAGAAAAGCTCCACTATCTTAAGATATTTACCTCATATGTATGTCATGTGACAAAATTCGTCTGTCCAAATAGGCTTCACAGTTGCTAGATAGGTTCTTATAATGAAAATGCCCCTGGGAGGGATACCTTATTGATCCATTTTCTTTTGTTAAGCCTTAGACTTAGACTAACTTAGTCCCTCAGCACTCCTCATCTAACAATGGAAGCCCCGAGGAATGTGAATTTGATTCCCTGGAAAAAGAATGTGAAACCTGCTTAGTGAAGGCAAGCCTGTGTGGGTGCTTCAGTGGGAGGCTCTAAGAACCAACTCCATTCTTTCTCAAATGAACTCCTCTTTTAGCCTGAATGACACTATGCTATTCTAAGTTTGCTTTTTTTTTTTTTTTTTTTTTACTTTTTGGATCCGAGTTATGATGTCTTCATGTCCACTACTAACCCCCACTCCAGTGAGAGTGACCTCTTTGAGATAGATAGAGGTCCCTCAGAGTGCCAACCACACAATGCCCAGGGTTTGTGACTGATAATACTGGTTCAATGTAGTTAAGTGAACAAGGGACCAGGGTAGGTGGGTCTGCAGCTCTTGGAGCACCTTCCCTTTGAAGTCTGTCTGCAGTGGCACCTCCCAGCCCTCTGCAACATGTGCGAGGGAACATAGAGTGACGTTAGATGGAAATTTTTGCAGATTTATAATCTGGGCTACAGTTTATTTTTACAGAAAATCTTATAGTAGTAAAAACTTGGTTTTTGAGGTCTATCTAGGGCTTAATAAATAAAATGAAACATGCTGTATTTTCAGTGCTGATTCTTTGGAATATTTTTGAAATGTCAAAGGAATGATGAGTTTACCAATTATAGAGAGTTGGAGTTTTCAGTTGATACCCTTAATACATGCATTATTTTATAATTATTTGTGTATTGGTAAAATGTATGAAGGCCCTAAGTCCAACCTATACATAAACTACAAACAGAAAAATTAAAAACAAGACATAACAAAACAACAAAATTCTCACCATTCCATTCCAGGTGTTTCTCTATGCACCCATGCTTAGTGATAGAAGGCAAAAAAGAGAGATTATCACAGAAAGAATACTTGTAAGAAGATGGGGTCTTTTTCATAAAACTATACTGCATTTAATCTTATTTGAATTAAATAAGGGAAACAGATGGAAGGATTAGACTATAATCTTTAATAGTGTATTTTGATTTGACCCCTAAATTCAGTGGCTGTTCTGTTCTGTCTTTCCCTCCTTCTTTCCTTCATTCTCCCATTGGTATGCTCAGATTTTCTCAATCAGCTTTTAATCAAGAAAAAAAAAAGCAAAATATCTTATAGACTCTAAGCTCAGTATCTTATAACTTGAGAGCTTTTCTAGGTGGGAAAATTGTGCAGGGAGGTTTAGCTACTTTCCCAAAGTCCTTTAGTTAGTCGTTCTTGCTGTTATTTGATAATGTGCTGCTGCTTAGGCCTCTACTTGGAAGTAAAAGTTGGACACATGGTAACAACGAAGAATTAGCACTTTTGCTTTTTTTTTTTTAAGGTCTTATAACAACCCTATGAGTCAGACTCCTCTCCACTGAGCTTCAGAACATATAAATGAGTAGCCCAAAGTCCTGTAGCAATTAGGTGGCAGAGCCAGAGCTGCCAGTATATTTCCATTATACCACGGTCTCTCATAGATGGTCTTGGCTTATCCCTCCTAAACTAACCCTGCTGCTTCTCTTGTCTTCTGTGCAGCACCAGCGGACCTTGGAGGTGGGAAGATGCTGCTCATAGCCATCCTTGGCTCAGCGGGAATGACCTGCCTGACAGTGCTGTTGGCCTTCCTGATCATGTTGCAGTTAAAGAGGGCAAATGTCCAAAGGAGAATGGCCCAAGCCTTCCAAAATGTGGTAGTGCCTTTTCTTCCTACTAGTTTATAATAAGTATAAGTCTACATGTATGCAGAACCTTCACTTTAAAGATGTGGACTAGGAAGGGCACCTGGGTGGCTTGGTTGATTGAACATCTGACTCTTAATCTCAGCTCAGGTCTTGATCTCTGGGGCATAAACTCAAGCTCCATGCTGGGTGTGGAGCCTACTTAAAAAAAAAAAAAAAGATGTGGACCAGGAAATTGACTTGTAAAGCGAATATTTCCTTTAAGCAGGTCTCGTTTTTTCTTTGACTTTCATTATGAAATGGGGATAAACAGCATGACTACATAATTTGTTGTCAAAACTGGAGTGGTTTTGAGAGTGAAAAGGTTGCTCTTAATAATGATTTAGGAAGCCAGGGCTAAAACAGAATTATTGCCCTGCCAAAATGAGATGTATGGTCATCCTAGTGATAAGTCACCAGGGAGTCTAATCTTGCAATATGAAGAACTGAACACTGTCGTAAGGAAGGATATGAGTACAACCAGACCTCAGTGTGATAAGTAATGATGTATTGCACTAGATAAGTTTTCCCCACATTTCCTATTTCCAGTTCCCTTTTCTACTCCCACAATCTTTTTTTTAAAGATTTTATTTATTTATTTATTTATTTATTTATTTATTTATTTATGAGACACAGAGAGAGAGAGTCAGAGACATAGTCAGAGAGAGAAGCAGGCTTCCTGCGGGGAACCTGATGTGGGACTCAATCCCAGGACCCTGGGATCACGACCTAAGCCAAAGGCAGATGCTCAACCACTAAGCCACCCAGGCATCCTTACTCCCACAATCTTATTGTCCCCCATATAAATGTGTAATATATATGAATTATATGCACATGTGTATATCTCCATTCCTTTGTACCCTTCATAATACCATGCACTGCCTCATTCTTTCATCTAGAAATTTTGACTAGTAACCAAGGTTTACAAAATTATACTTGGGGAGCTTTGTTATCTGACTCCAGGCCAGAGCTGGCTCAACTCAGGCTGTCACTGGAGGAAGACCAGCAAGGGGGCTGGAGCACTGGCACTCATCATGGTACCTGTCCTTTGTCATGATATGTTAGCAGCCTCTCAAACTCAGGAGAAAAGGTGATGCTGTATTGGGCTTCGCTATAAGTCTGTGTAATCCTGGAGCCAGACTCTGCTCTAGAGTGGGCTTGAGAGGTTCAAAGGTTTAGGATAAGTCAGAGAGACTGAGTAAGAGTCAAGAATAGACCAACACCAAAAAAAAAAAAAAAAGACTAGACCAAGACAATGCATGGAAAGCTCCACATAGGATCTCTGAGTTCTTTTCTAAACCAGAAATGAACACCTGCTCATTCCACACTTAATTGTGATTAACTCAGGGATGTGCCATCCTTTGGCATACTTGCTGTTATTCCCTCCTGCCTCACTCTCTGCAAACATTGCTAATTGATTGCAGTCTGCCTTCCCCATGAGGCCTGGAATTATCTCATGCAGCCCTATAGACAGCCTATTAGATGAAACCTATTTTCATCTACATTCTAGAATTAGACAATTTCTTTTTCTTTTTTTTTTCTTTTTTTAGATAGACAATTTCTTGTTTTACCTGGTAGGGATACACACCAGGAGTACTTATGCACATTAGAATTATGAAAAATCTTGACACAAAACCATGAAAAAAATTATTTCTCCAGAGGGAAGAACCAGCTGTGCAGTTCAACTCAGGAACTCTGGCCCTGAACAGGAAGGCCAAAAACAACCCAGATCCTACAATTTATCCAGTGCTTGACTGGAATGACATCAAATTTCAAGATGTGATCGGGGAGGGTAATTTTGGCCAGGTTCTTAAGGCGCGCATCAAGAAGGATGGGTTACGGATGGACGCTGCCATCAAAAGGATGAAAGGTCAGTGCTTGGCCAAATCAAGTCAGCATTTCACTAGGGTGGGAATAAACTTGACTTCCTGTCAAATCTTTCCTCTATGGGCTTACATTATTTAAACAAAAAATTGGCATGATGTCAAATATAGCTGTTCTGTGCAACTGCAGGTGATAGTTCCTTTGAGGTCAGCCAGTGATGGGGTCAGGACGTAAATGTGAAGGCTGTTTAAATGCCACTGTTTTGACTCAATGGGATGTGAGAATACAGATTCTCTATCACACACTGCTAATTTGAGGGGAGTGCTGTTGTTTCTCTTGATGCAGTGGTTCTCCAAATTGAGTGTGTATCAGAATCACCTGGAAGACTTGTTAAAAACAGACTGTTGGGGTCCACTCTGGTTTCTGAGTCAGTAAGTCTGGGGTAGGGCCAGAGGATTTGCATTTCTAATTAGTCCACAGTGATGCTGATGCTGAGGGTTTGGAGACCACACTTTGAAAACCATTGTCTTCATGGATTATCTGCATCAGAGTTCCTGGAGACATTGTTAGACATGCATCTACTTGGCTTCTCCCACTGTATGTGAATTTCTGGAGAGGCACGTGAGAATCTGTGTTCTTAGCAGCATGCCCAGTGATTCTTCTGTATACTCAAGTTTGAAAACCAGGGTCTAAGGTCACAAGAACTAAATCTTTTCCAGTTGAGTTCATCTCAAGACTGCTTGGTGCCTACTTACTTAACAAGATGGCTAATAAATATCCTCTGAGAAAACAAAATGACAGTTCACTGGCAGTCCTAGGTGTGTTCTCTTCTGTGTGAAGAAGCAGGTTATGCATGGCTTGATTGTAAAGGTGCAGTGTTGCTTTTATAGCATTCGGGTTTAGAAAGCCATGTGTTAGAGCAGGGAAAATGGTTAACTACTGTTGTTGGTTAGCTTCCCAATGCAGACTCTCTTAAGGTTGCTGATGGGTTTCCCCTTTTGTTGGCAATATTGAGCCTAAGGTTGGAATTAACCCTAAATCTCACTAAATCACCACTGCTTTTTGCAGTGTTGACGGAAGGCAAGTAAAATAAAACAAATTAAATAGTGTCTGTGCTGAGAGATAGTAGTATGTTTCAAACACACATACACACGCACATGAAGTCTTGCAGAGCATCCAGAAATCTCTTTTCTGTTTTTCTACTTTAGTCATGGGGAGTTTTGGGGAATACTAAGAATAGTATGAGGGAAAAGGATATAGAATCTTATCAAACCAGGGCTTTTAAAATCTGACCTGAGTTTGATTGTCTCATGCACATGTGAAGAGGTAAAATAGATTAAACGGGGCAAAGGGCAGAAACTGTCTGTAGGGAGAGTGATACACTCCAAGAAGAACAGTTACTGAAGTAGGGGGACAACTCATTATAAAGAACTTCATTTTAAAAATACTCCTAAGGCTTTGACCCTCGGACTTCTTGTGTTATGAACAGGGTTATCTGACCTGGGATTGCCTACTAGCTAGTTTTACAGGTACCCTTAGTCCACATGAAACATTCCTGTAATACCTAAGCATGTTCAAGCATGCCCTGGGCCACCAGTCCACAACTGTCCCCCTCTCCTACCTTTCCTACCCAGTGTTATTTTTCAAAAAATAGTTACAGCACTCTGTCACCAGTCAAGGCTGGTCAGTTTGTACATCAACCAGAGAGGGCCTTCCCTTCAGCCTGAATGGTACCTGGTGGTTCTTCCTCTGATCTGAGTGCTAGTGGAGAGACAGGAGGAAAAAATAGAAACAAATGCATTTCAGTTTCCTGACCACCAAGCAACTTCCATAAAAATGCTGTTGGATTTGAGGCTTTGTTTTTTTTTTTTGTTTTTTTTTTTTTTTTTTTTTTTTTAGCAGGACTGGTTTGTGGAAAAGCAAGTTAAAATTATTATAATAAAGCAAGGTGTGTGCATTCGTAGTGTTGCACTGAAACATTGGTTCTCTTGCTCAGCATATTTGTTGCTGGACAGCGGCTTCAGCTAGGATAGCTAAACTGGAGGCTAATCCATCTCTGCCAAGTCATTTCACAGGGTATTTGAAAGCATAAGCAAGAAAAAGTTTAGAGCAGTGATTCTCAACCAGGGGTGGTTTTGCCCCTTGGAGGGGGGCATTCAGCAGTGTCTGGATACATATTTGGTTGGGCTACTGGTATCTAGTGGGAAAGCCTAAGATGTTGCCAAATATCCTACTGTGAATAGGACAGCTCTCAACAACAAAGTGTCAGCCCAAAGTGTCACCAGTACCAAGTACTCTTTTTAGAGTCATCTCTGATTTCTATATATTTTTTCAGACCTGATGGTGACTCAGTGCCTGTGAAGGTCCTGGGGAACAGGAAAGGACAGTTAAGCAGGACAGTTAAGGACAGTTGAACAGGTCTAACAGAGAGGGATCACAATTCTTGACTTTCTTCCCAGAATATGCCTCCAAAGATGACCACAGGGACTTCGCTGGGGAACTGGAGGTTCTCTGTAAACTTGGCCACCACCCAAACATCATCAATCTCTTGGGAGCGTGTGAACATCGTGGTAAGATGCTCTTTTCCTATCTTTCTTGCCAGATTTTTTTTTAAACAGGCACATTCCATATGAAATTAGTAAAGATAATAATCTTAAGAATGTTACCTACTTTTATTTTTAAGTTGCGGTTTCAATCCAAGTGTTTAGTCCTGTTTACAAATTATGCTGAATTTTGGCATCTATTTGGAGGTTGGTCCTGAGGTTGGATCTTTTGCCCTATGATGTGTTTCACCATTACTTCTCGAAGGTACCTATGGTTGCTTGCCAATCCAGACGTTTTCTCAGCTACTCTTGCTTAGGTAGATTGGGGGAGTCCTCAGCACCAGGAAGAGTGAAGTGCATTGACTCTTTTTAATCGCCTACCTTTTTTTCCTCCAAACCCAAGACACTGATACTCTGAATGTTAAATCCAGAACGTCAGAAATCAACTGCAAGGTGAAAGCATTGGTGATGGTTAGGATAAAATAATAAGCTTATATCTGATAGAGCTTTATTTTTTCCCAAAACAATTATTGGTACAATTACGATGGAGCTTTACAACTATTCTATGTTGCACATACTCTTAAAGTTCAACTTACATTATTAATTCAGATATTATTGAGTACTTCTATAAGTTTATATCTGCATGCCACCCGGTTTATAGTTCTGCAGCTGTGCTTACACTTAATTTCTCATGGAAAAGTTTACCCCCACAAAAAAGCTCCACACAGCAGTTATTTACAAACTTGACAACCTCTTCTTGATTTTGCAGCACAAACACCAACAATAGAAAAGAGACTACTTCCTTTTCCTCAATTTATTAAACTAAAAATACTGGTGCTTCAAACAATATATCATTCTGTGATCCAATAAGGGTGTAATTCTGAAAACCAGATCATGTCCCTTAGGTTAAATAATGAAGTAATGACGTTTATTTTTGAGCTATTTCCTGAAAACAGTAATCAGCATAGGGCAGCAGTAAATGAAAGTTAGAAAAAAAAAAAAGTAACCACCAACAACAGAAAAAAACACATATCTTTCAAATTTCTGCTGTCATCACCTTAACACATAATTGGCTGGCTCTTAAAATTTATAGTTCAGTAACAATGTAAGAAAGCATTGAGGTCTATCTTGCCTTATAGTGCAACATGGTACAGTATTTTTTTTTTGCAAGGATTTCAATTTTTTAGAATGTCTTTGAAATTCAAAATCATTTGACATTTTAAATTTTAAAAATGGTATACCAAAAAAATTTATCTGTATGTATGTATGTATGTATGTATGTATGTTTTGAAGTGAAAATAACATCAAGATTTTATTTTCTTCATAACAAAATATGAAGCTTAGAACTGGATCACTTGTCCCTAAAAAATTTATCTTTAAAAGGCAGTAAAACCACTCTGCTTTTCAATGATTCTAGATATCAATGTTTTTATGAAAGAAGATTAATTTTATTTTAGAAAAAAAGAGGAGGACAATTTGGAAGAAAACCAAGACAATGGACCATGATTTCTTTGAGGACCTGTTTTTGTTTTTTTGTTTTTTTTTTTTTTTTTTTTTTTTTGTCTTTCTAAAAGTTTGAGTTTTTGATTTCTCTAAGCAAAATGCAATCTCTGACATTAGATTCTTCTGACCAATGACCAAATCAGCAATACGGTGACTTAGTATGAGTTTTAGGTGGGGAGTAGAAGCAGAAGAGAGAAAGTTACCTGGTATGGGTCCTTCTGCCATGGATATTTAATCTTTTTCTTTTTCTTTTTTTAAAATAACCTTAAGCAGAGACAGACTGGAATAACATGTGTGGCTCATATCAGTTCTCAATCAATACTGAATAAAAATAAAAGGTGATGTGAACTAGCTGTCCTAGCTCTTCTGGAGGCAAACACATTGATTTCATTCTCTATTATTAGTGAGTGAAAGCATTCAGGAAGCTTCCACGTTAGTCCATGTGTGGTAGGAGGGATGGGAGTGGGAAAGAGGGGACCCTGGCTTCAAGCATGGTGTTCTTTAAGTATGGCAGGAGCGTGGAACTTCTCTTCCTCTGTCGCCAGTGTTCCCAAGGTTGGTACCTCCAGATGTGTTGCTTTTAGATACTGAGTTTTGGAAGCAATTCTTGGGACCATAGCACATCTCAGAAATTTCACAGCTATCAAGGGGCTGCTGAGAAGCTGATGTCTCTCCCTTTCGCCATAGGCTACCTGTACCTGGCCATCGAATACGCCCCCCACGGAAACCTCCTGGACTTCCTGCGCAAGAGCCGAGTGCTGGAGACGGATCCAGCCTTTGCCATTGCCAACAGCACCGCCTCCACGCTGTCCTCCCAGCAGCTTCTCCATTTCGCAGCGGATGTGGCCCGGGGTATGGACTACTTGAGCCAAAAACAGGTTTGTTGTGAGGACCAAAATCTTTCCTTTGAAATTCTCTACAGAATCAGTGTTGAATTAAATGCATACATTTTTCTAGTCTGCCTCCCCCTTTTACTTCCCCTTACAATCTCCCTAATTTTAATCTCTTGGTTACTATTATATATATATATATATATATATATATATATATATATATATATATATATATATGTTATTTATTGCCAAAAACTGACAATATGTGTATTTAGTGAACCTCAGCGTATGCATTTAGTGAGGTGCTTTAACCAATCTTAGCCTCATCTGGGTCCAAATGATGCACAGCAGCAGAGGACTTAACATGGCAACAGGAAGATTTAGTGACCTGGATTTCATTTCTTTTCTTTCTTTCTTCCCAAAATGCTTCTCCTAAGACATGGCGGGTCATTTGGCAGAATCCAGTGAGGATTTTGGAGAGGGACTTTAAGGAATTGGATTCCTCTCTTCTCTGTTTCCCAAAGTTCTTGCCCTGGTGGCTTTGTGCCAGCAGAATGAAGTGAACAAGCAAAAATGCTGAAAATACATGATGTTTTTTTAAAATTTCAGTTTATCCACAGGGATCTGGCTGCCAGGAATATTTTAGTTGGTGAAAACTATGTAGCCAAAATAGCAGATTTTGGATTATCCCGAGGTCAAGAAGTATATGTGAAAAAGACGATGGTAAGTACAGAGGGCGGACACTGAGAACATCCTCCCCAGGGCTCCTCCCTCACCTGATGGCCCTTCTCTTGGAATATGACTGTTCTTCGGTGACCCAGGCACCTGGCTGTGTATCCCAGGAGACAGTATCCTGGCCCAGCAAACATCCTTTCTGAGTTTTGATTCCTAAAATGACCGAGGGCTCTATATTTCCCAGTGAAGGAGCCATTGTCACGTGTGGCCCAGTGATGTAACATCCAAGCCTCGCGGGGCATCTACACCCCGGCAGATCCCTAAGTGTCTTTTTTTTTTTTTAAGATTTTATTTATTTATTTATTTATTTATTTATTTATTTATTTATTTGAGAGAGAGAGAGAGAATCAGTAGTGAGGAGCAGGTAGAGGGAGAAGGAGAAGTAGGCAAGGAGCCCAATATGGGGCTTGATCCCAGGACCCTGGGATCATGACCTGAGCCAAAGGCCAGCACTTAACCCACTGAGCTACCCAGGCACCCCAGACCCCTAAGTGTCTTGTTCAAAAACCTGAGAGGTGCTCCGTCATCCCCTTTTATGCACAGCAAGCATAGGAGGGGCAAAAAAATACCTTGAACATACTTTCCAAATAGAAAGGAAATAAATTACTGAGGTTCCTCAATCACAGGGAAGCCCTGGAGAAAAATTCTTAACTTCTAAAGCCCACGGAAGATTTCCCTTTCACTAAAAGTTCTCCGCTCCCTCTCCACGCCCAAGTCAATCCACAGTCACTTGATGATACTTCCTCTCCCAAACAGTAATATTTAATCTTCAGGTACAAGATGCTTGGAGAACCTCACCACAGATGGAGAAAAGGTGGACTCATTCTGCTTTTGTTGCCCACTGTAAATTGTAAAGACCTGGAAATGCCCCTTCCAGGGATGTGCGAGCTGGGCCAACAACATGGCGCCGCCCTCTACTTTCCCTGGGTTGGGGGGCAAGGGCAGGGCTGGGGGGCTGGCAGATCCTGTAGTTATCTCATGTGTTTGGTGGCTCTACCCCAGCTGCATGGCTCCCCCTTTCCTAGGTCTGACAGACATTGCTCTGGCTCAGCTTTCCTGGGACTACAGTAGTTTTCACACAGTCCCTTTATTTTATTTTTAAAGATTTTATTTATTTATTCCTGAGAGAACAGAGAGAGGCAGAGACACAGGCAGAGGAGAAGCAGGCTTCCTGTGGGGAGCCTGACGCAGCACTGGATCCCAGGACCCCAGGGTCACAACCTGAGCCAAGGGCAGATGCTTAACCACTGAGCCACCCCCATGCCCCTCACACGGTCCCTTTAAGTTCGTGGGCAACAAAGTGACTAAGCCAGGCTCAGTCTTCGGATTTATCTTCACATTCAGAGTTTTGTTTTGTTTTGTTTTGCAATATACTTATTTTAGTTACTGACAAGATAACAGAAACAATACTCAAGAATGTTTCAAAAAGGAAATGACCCATAGTTCACCACCTCGAAACATTTTTTTTCCTTTTTTACTTATTGCCTTCAACAAACATACGTATTTTTATATAGTTACTATCCCAGGGACATAACCATTTTGGGTCTTTCCAGTCCTTTTTGGATAAGGGTTAGAAGTGGGGGCCCCTTTGGCTCTTAGACACCATCACAGACATCCAGTGGGGCTCCAGATGCTTGTCAATGCCAAGGCTTTCAGAAGCCCTAAGTGCCTCCCTGAGGGCTGGCGTCCATGCAATACTTTCTTCCCTAAGCTTTTCTGAATTTGCCTGACCCAAAGCAGATGTTTCTTCACCGAGGGGCTGGGCTTGTCTTAAAGAAGCAGGACCCACCACTCATCCATTTATTTCCATTCTCTCTGCTCCTCCTGGGCCACCTGAAGCTTGCTATCTCATTCACAGAACCCCTTTCCTTGTTTCTCTCTGGCATTTGGGGGCTATGGTGCTCTGGGTGATGGGGTGGAGGCACTGACACAGGTTAACCCCACAACCTACACATTTTATTTGGATGCTGTCCTCAGATCCCCAAGAAGAATGCTGGTTTGCTTGGCATTTCATAAAGGGCAGGGATTTCTGCAGTCTTGAGGAGCTTAGAAGACATGCTTAGAGGGGTAGAGCACTTAAATGGGTCAGAACTTAACTCTGGCTGCTAGCAGTCAGGTGAAGTGCTCTGTGGCAGCGTGGGGGCTGGGAGGAAACACACAGGGCAAGCTGGCAAGCCCAGGAGGAGGAAAGGCAAGGGAATTGGAGAAAAGCAAGTTCCCTACAAAAGGGGTGCAGTGTGGCAAGGTACCACCAGAGGGCAGAGTGGCCACCTTATCTGGCTCACTCTTTAAATCCGAGATTTTCCATTCTCACTGCACTTCAGAATCTCCTGGGAAGTTTTCAAAAAGTACAGATGCTGAGTCCTACTGCTGAGATCCTATGATTCAGTTTTCTAGGGTGGGGATCCTACATCCGTTTGTGTGTGTGTGTGTGTGTTTTGAGTCCCCCAGGTGATGCTAATATTGGAAGTGTTGCAAACTAAAGTACTAAGTGATTTGGGCCTTTATTGTCATTGCTAGATCCATCCCCTCATCATCAATTTATGACTACAGTGTTTCAGCTTGTGCTAGGCTTTGTAACATTAACTCCCACAGTCTCCGCTTTCAAAGAGCTTGGACACACGATGAACAATTTTAACAGTTGGTGAGTGCGGAGGACAGAGGAGGAACGAACATGGGGACACAGGAAACATACTGAACTGAGCCTGTGGGCAGTCATGAGGGCTTCCCGGAGGAGGCCAACTCTTGCGTTTTACAAATGTTAAAAAGATATTGGAGATATGGGAGTGAATTGAATGACCTGCAAGGTACAGTGTAGATAAAAGCCTAGAGGCAGACATTTGTGGGTCCAGTAATCCGATATGGCATAATGCAGAAAAGAGGGAGAGTTAAAATTCATGGTGGGAGGAGGAAGGGGTTATAAAGTTGTCTTGAAGATTCTTGAATTCCAGCTAAAAGTTTTTGGACTCAGTTAAGGATGGAGATCTTGGCACAATAAAAGACATTAGAGAACTTTAAGGAAGCACGTGGTGGCTTGCCATTTCAAGTAATTAATGTGGCTGTGGTGAGGAGAACTGATCCTTAGGGGGTGAAACTCTGAAGCAGGAAGATCAGTTAAAAGGTTGTCCTCAGGAAAGGGCTGATGGTGGCCTGAACTTAGGCGAGAGAGCAAGAGGGACGGGGGAAATGGACAGATCCAAAAGAAGTCAAACTAGAAAAATAAAAAAGTAAACATGGAGATCAGTAATTGGGAGCCATGAGGTCAGAAGCTAGCAGATCCATAAAGGCAAAGGCAAGCAGAAAACTCTTTGCATGCTCTGGAGGGGAAGAAAAGGCTAGAATAATAGGTGGGCTGGGCATGGAGTGAAGGGAGGCATGATGTTGAGGATCACACTGGAGATGTAGGTTTGAGAAGAGAGAGTTCGGTAGCTGAACCTTCATGTACCAACCAGGACTTAGGATCAGGAGCTTCAGAATTTCACTGCTTCACAAAGACTTGGAGACAATGGCACGTTCAGGAGTAGTTCTGCGGTCCCAGGCAGGGCTAGTCTCAGTCTGGGCGGTCTGGGAGAAGCCTGCTCCTGTTTCAGGGGGGCTGAGAAGATGCCCCCAATTTCTCCTGATGCTGCCCCACCTCTTGGCTACTGTGGGTTGAAACACCACTGTCGGAGCTTGGACAAATCCCTGCGAGGAGGACATCCAGCTCTCAGTAGGGCCCGTATGATTCCCGGGGTGGGTCACCAGGAAGGGAGCCCAAAGTCACAGTGACACCAGGACTAAGACATAGATGGCAAACTTTCCAACTTTTCCTGTCCACATTCATTTTTCCCGGGGTGGACCTAAAGAAATGGGGACCACCTGGGTGAAGTCAGGGCCAGGCCCCCAAATGATGAAGGGGTATAGCTCATCCCATCTCCAAACCCAGTGTAAACTGCACGGACGGGAAGGTCCTTCCTCCTCCACCAATGAGTATGAATCCCGTCCCCTTGGTCTGAAATGCTCTTCTCTCCCAGGCCGCCTGACGGCACCTACAGCTTACAGAACCGGGCTCCAGTGTCCCCTTGTCGGAAAGTCTTCCCCATCTCTCCCAGGCACAGCTGGGCACCTCCCATCACCTGAGTCTTTCCCACATTACAGTTTAAAGATTTATTTATTTATTTATTTATTTATTTATTTATTTATTTATTTATTTATGAGAGAGAGAGAGAGAGAGAGAGGGAGGCAGAGACACAGGCAGAGGGAGAAGCAGGCTCCATGCAGGGAGCCCGACGTGGGACTCAATCCTGGGACTCCAGGATCAGGCCCCGGGCCAAAGGCAGGCACCAAACCGCTGAGCCACCCAGGGATCCCCCCACATTACAGCTTAATTCTTGGTTTCTCTGCCTCCCTCCCCTTTCAAACTTCTGAGTGCCTCCAAGAGCCACAAAGTGAATAAATGAAATGCCCACCAAAAAGGCACTTAGCCATCCACACGCACACAAACCCACACATTTAATTATTTTTCTTTATGTAAAACTGTTGTAGGGACTGCTTGAGGTCAACAGGTCTGATAGTCTTCGCATGTCTTTGAATTCGAGAACACTCTTGCGTGTGTCGTGTACACAAACCAGCAATCCCTGATCCTACCATAACTTAAGTCTGGGGGATTCGAAGTAGAGTCCCCTGTGGGCCTGAGGGAGCCCCAGCTCCAAGCAAGCTGTGTATCTTGGGAAGGGTCCCCATCTTGCCTAAGTGGCATCTCACTTTGTTCTCTCCAGGGAAGGCTCCCAGTGCGCTGGATGGCAATCGAGTCACTGAACTACAGTGTGTACACAACCAACAGTGACGTGTGAGTAAGCCTTTTATTTTAAGGTCTTTTTTTTTTTTTCCAGAAGAATAAGCATTTGACAGAGGTCTTAAAGTGAAATAGGAATATCCTGTCCCTCTGTGGAAAAAAAGCTAGTCAATAAGCCCAGGAAATACATTCCTAGTCTGCAAAAATGAAGCCTCAGAGTAGACAGTTTTTACGGTGTAAGATCACTGGGGGCAGGCAGTGGGTTTCCTTCCGCCTGTCAAGGAGAAGTAGTGAATTCTCCATCTCCAGAGGGACAAGGGCCATATGGGGCTTCCTGTGGCTTCACCTCCCAGACTGACCTCAGCATGCAGGACCCAGAGCATGGAGGCAGGCTGCTGGGGGTCAGAGGTGGCAGGGGCAGAAGACGGGCCAGATCAAGGGACCATCCTCCCTTGCAGCCTGCAGGGACAAGTCTCAGGAGGCTGGAAGGGAGGTTTGGAAGTGAGACGTACACCATCTTGCCCACACCTTTATTGACGGGAGGAAAAACTGAGGCCCCAAGGGTTCAGGTGACTTGTCCAGGGAGTTCAGCTTCTGCCCGGGGAAGGGCAGGGGGCTGGCAAGTATTTGTGTCCTCACTGCATGCAAGGTACATTTTATATGTTCTCTCACATCCTGTCTGCATAACTTCGAGGCAGCAACTGGTGTCCCCACTTTCAGAATAACCAAAAGGCCTCAAGAGGTTCAGTAACTTGTCCAGGTGACACGAGTATCAGGTGGCAGAGCTGGGATTTAACTCCAGTCTGTCAGCTTAGAAATGCACCTGCTGTCCCCAGTACCACTTTGTGTTCTCCGCCTAAAGTCAGTGGGGGCTCTAACACCGTTTCCCTGTTAGAATCCTTCCACTGGCCTAAGAGGACATGACACATATGCCACACACAGGGCCCTGTCCTAGGGAGGACACGTTTAACATTTCCTTTTCTGGCAAAGCGTCAGTCATCCAGACTTTTGAGGCAGAAAACTGGTCACCTTGTTTGCTGATTATTGGTTTCTCCATCATCTCCCCTGCAGATGGTCCTATGGAGTGTTACTGTGGGAGATTGTTAGCTTAGGTGAGTATCCGTGTTTATCCGCCAGGTGAGACTTCAGGCAATAGGGGTGGGCCCCTCCTATGCTTCCTCACTGTGGAATTCCACAGGTGCCATTTTTAGGTCTTTATGTGGCACCACCAGAAGGGACTGGGAATAGAACTTTATAGGTTTCTCTGTAGGTGTCTGTTTATTCCCAGGTTTCTTTTTTGAGAGCCCTGTAGCTAATGTCATATTTAATACTTAACAGCCTGGTGGCTGTGAGCTTCATTATAGGTTGTCTCTGAGCAGAGATGTCACAGAACTACCACAAGTTTGCTTCTACAACTTGAAGGTGGTACATCACACAGCCATGAAGAGTCATCTCTGACGGCCATTTAGCAGCATGTGAAAACGTGCAGGCCAAAACCCAGAAAGTTCCTTATGCTATGATTGCAGTTTTATAATTACTACACATGAAAAACCTGAGAGAACTACAAAGAGTAATACAAACTATTGCTTGCTTCCTTCACACTTTTTTGGTATTTTCCAAGTTTTCTATAATAAACCTGTATGATTTAGAATTAAAATTGGTCAGTGACTATTATAGAACAAATAGGAACTGGATAACCTAACAGCAGGCTCCCAAGTAGGGAAAAGTGACATCTTATCGGTATAATAGCTGGGTTGTGCAGGCTGACTTAGGGAAGGGAAACAGCACAATAAGTCAGGTTCCCCATGCTGGATCTTTCCACTGAGGGAACGGCTGCACTGTGGCGTGGTTTGTGGCACATGTGCCGCTGTGATGTGGAGTGGGTTTGCTCAGAGGGAGACCATGCTGCCTGGGCACCCTCCCTGGGCACACCCTGCCGTTCTCCCAGTCTCTTGGCTTGAGAGGCATGGGGCAGGAAACACTGCATTCCACACTAGAGGGGGCTTAGGGCAACATGGTTTTCTGTCTTCCAGGTGGCACCCCCTACTGCGGGATGACATGCGCAGAACTGTACGAGAAATTGCCCCAGGGCTACAGACTGGAGAAGCCCCTAAACTGTGATGACGAGGTGTAAGTCAGGCTGCACCCTAAGGCCATTTTATCTTAACCTCCCCTGCCTGTTTCTTGGGCAGAGTATAATGAAGGGGTTACCTGATTCATACACACATACATATGTGTATATCTATGCATACACACACATTGAGATCCCAAAGAGCCAAAAACAAGTGGGGGCGGTTCCTTAAACTAAGACCATTGTGCAGTGGGCAGGGAGCTAAGAGCTTTATATGCATAGGCATCTGGGAGGAATTTAAGGTGATGGTATCAAGAAGGTGAAAAATGAAGAAAGGCAACAAATGCAGAGGAGGTCTGAAAGAAACTCATGAATAAATGTATGAAACCTTGAGGTTAACTTTGGGGATAGAGATTTCAGAGCTGTGACATTAGGAAGATGGATTTTTTGGTCACAGAATCTTGATTCTGCAAGGATTATTTTCCAGGAGTAAGAATTATTCCCTGGGGAAGAATGATTAGCTTTCACCACCATTCCCAGAGCTACCTGAAGTAACTGCTGCCTGACTGGCATGATGTGAAAGTGCAAGGCTCTAGGCTCAGCAAAGAATTTATTGTCCAAGCTGAGCCAATTCTAAGAAAGAGTGGTATTAATTATGTCCCTGGTACCAGAGACATAAACCTAGACCATGCTAGGTTCCTAGCCTTTTGTGCACATCAGGTTCCCGTGAGGCATTTGGTCCCAATGTGAAATTTTGAGCCCTACTCTGACATCACTTCTGTAGGTCTAAGGTGAGTCACAGGAAACAGCATTTTGACAACGTAAGTGGTTCTGACCCCATTTGAGAGAGTTCTGCCTTAGACCAGGGCTTCCCAGACTATGTTCATGAGACACACAAGATACAAATAGATGATACAAGGGGGAAGAAGTGCTGTGGCCACTTATGGTTGGCAAATTCCATGTTAGGTCAGGTTAAATAGGTTTTTTGTTTGGCAAGGCTTCTCAAGATTTTACTCTGCTGATCCCTAAGAGAGAGATGCAACAGATGGCACCTGGCAAATTTATTAGAACATGGGAGTCTTTTTTTCAATGAATTACTAACCTTTGAGAGATGTGGTATTCCAAGGGAAGTGTTGCTCTAGACTCTGTTCTTTCCAGATAATCAGAAGAGCTGAGACCAAGATCCCATAGGAATGGTACTCAGGATAGGCACTAGTTTTGCTGAAAGAAGAAAAGAGGACTTGTGGAGGGAGGTGGGAGGCCAGATAGAAACTTGGGGCTGTAGTTTTGTGCTATTGATTAAATATAGACAGATGACCAAGTGTGGAATGCCTACATTATCTTCTCTTGTTTCCATACCCCACACTGGGCCATGCCAAGGACTGAAGCAGAGTCACAGAGTTCAATGCTTAACTCTTTCTTTTCCAAGATATGACCTCATGAGACAATGCTGGCGGGAGAAGCCTTACGAGAGGCCCTCATTTGCCCAGATCCTGGTGTCCTTAAACAGGATGTTAGAGGAACGCAAGGTAAGCATGGAGTTCTGGGCAGGCTCTTGAAACACAATGCCTCAGGCACCCTATATGGCTTAAAAAAAAAAAAAAAAACCCCAACAACAACAACAACAAAAAAAACAGTTGATACAACTCAACAAGTTGTTCTGGGCATAGCCTGAGATATTAGAGGGACATAAAAGATGTGCCCCCTGCCCCCAACTTTGAGGATGTTACCATTTCAGAGGTAATAAGATTTCTATGAAAGATAGTCACACGTGGTAGAAATTAGCCTCTGAGATAGAAGGAACCTCATCAGGAATCTAGCCTGACTCTTGAATTTTGCAGAAGAAATATATACAGAGAGGTGAAAGTGATGTGTCTAAGGACACACAGCCGGTAGACAGTCTAGCCTGGTCTGCAGGTTCCTAGTGGGGAGGGCCAGGAATTCCATAAACATGTCTAGCAGGTAGTTGGTGATATAGATCTGGGGTTGCAAATCCAGGATAGGGAAATAGACTGAAAGTCACCACAAGCCAATCGGTAATTAAACTGGAGACATGAGTGATATCACACAGTGGGGGGTTGGGGGATGAAGAAAGGATCCTGAGAGACTGGGGCAGCTCCAGAGGGACCTCAGAAAGGCCACAGAGAGTGGCCTAGAAACTGTGGAGTGTTACATTCAGAAGTCGAGGGATGAACTTCAGGAGGAAAGATGTCAAATACAACATGGGGCCTGAGGACAGAAGAATGTCCCCCAAGTACCTAGTGTTTGAACTGAAATGAGTTAGTTAAGGAAACTGGGGTGTGACTGTACCTGCCCATGCCAGAGGCAGTATTGAGGGACCCTGTATGTCTGAACCACTCTTGCTATCCTAGACCTATGTGAATACCACGCTCTATGAGAAGTTTGCCTACGCTGGGATCGACTGCTCTGCCGAAGAAGCAGCCTAGAACAAACCACATCCATTTGTATGTAATGTTGCCCCTTCCCTGGCATGTCAGACCCCTGATGCCAAGCAAGCAAGCAAGACTCTGCCAACAGAGGTGACGTGGAATATAAAAATGTGTATATATATATATATTGTTATGTCTGGGACATGACCACAAAAACTCCTGTGTGTGAATCTATAGTACACTTTGACTCCAGTAGGACTGTATATACTGTTTTGAGTAAGAATGTGCTGAAATCAGAATGCCTGTTTGTGGTTTCATATGCAATAATATATTTTTCTAAAAATATGGACCTTACAGGAAGGTGTGCGAGTACAATTACTATGATGCATGACTCATTATCATCTTAGGTATTTCTGATATTTACCTTCATAGTGAATATTATAAAATGTTTCGCTGTATAGAAGAAATTTGTTAATAAACCTCACACCGACCCTTGACAGCACCGGTGAGAAAAGTGGGGGCAAATACGTTAGTTCTATCAGGCCATAGATTAAAATTTAAAACAGATTCTTCTATCCATCTCTAAACTTTCTCCCTCACCTGTAGCAGTCATTTCAATTTCATCTGGTCCTTTGATACCCCTGTCATATGTTTTCAGAGCCCATGAGTCAATTCAGAGCACTAACATCACAAAGTAGACTTAAATCTCATTCCGTAGAAGTCTAAGAATCACTAGAGAAGTTGGCTAAATTAATGGGATTTAGTTTCAGTTTCTCTGGTGACATTGTTAAGAAATTAAGTAGGAAGCCTGGGTTCTATCAACAGAACATCCCTACTGCACACTGTCAAGTTTCAGTGTTGATCCGTTGTGAGTTTACAGTTTATACCATAGGCAAACGTTGCACTGAGATCATACAGTAAGTGAATAAATGTCTTGCCGACCTATATTTCGTCTGGGAATGTTTCTCATAGGTATTGCCAGATGTCTTTATTACAATTTCAAGTTACCATTCCCTAACTTCTCAGGAAGTTGCCCGTAGAGCAGTGGGTGGGGACACCACCAGACATGGTCTCTCCAGCCTGAGATTGGAAACATCGAGTCCACTTTTCTCTCATAGTTCTCCAATATGATGTGAGGGCTTAGAACTGGAATCTCTTTTAATAGTTCAACATACCGCATAAAGTTCCCATTCCTGCCACTAACTCCACATTATGCGTTCAGAAACAATAGCCAGGATGCTTTATTCACAATAGCATATTCAAGTGGAGACAGCATAAGCAAGGCTGAATCAACTGAGTGGAAACTCAATGAGGAGCCCTTAAAAATAGGTTCAAATATCTACAATAGTTCATTTTGCTTTTTATCCAAATGCTGTAGAGATACTGCTAACAGCTCTTAGTTTGAAAGTACATGAAACTGAACAAGAACAAAGATAATCTGAAAACGCAGAAAATCTTTTTAAATTTTACATATGGTTTTGGAACAAACATTAAGGTTCCCCCCCCATAACAGTTAGACCTTAATTATATACTAGATTCATAATTATCTAAATTTAAATTATTTTATTTCACATCAAGTACACGACACTAAGGCAAACGTGGGACAGCAAGAAAAAGATGATTACGATTTACTTGTAACACCCAATACCAAGGCAGCAAAACTGATGTTTGAGTGCATATCCTCACAAGCAACAGTCAGAGAGTAACTGATGTCCTTCTGGCACAGAGGCCTTCCTAGTGATTTTCTGACTCACCTGTACTATTGGCAATGAAACCTTTGTAATTTTGTAGCATGTTAGCAACATTAATATTGAAGATTCATATTAAGGGGAATCAAACTGAATAAAGTCATGTCATTTCCACATTATGAGAAAGCAATTTAGAAAGATGGAGCCAACTCCTCAAAGGAATTAGACAATTCAGGTGTTACGAATACAGGTTAGTGTGTTTAGAAGATCCACAGGATACTGCCTTAAAAAAAAAATCAGTAACAATACACCGGTTAGAATAAAAACACATTACATAATAGCCATATGACCAAATTCTTTATGTTAACAGAGTACACTGAAAAGTTTACATTTGCTTTGTGAGGAACATCTCTTCTATTTATATATGAAATCTAAAAAAAATTGTTAAAGATGGATTCAGATATTTGGAGAGAAAAAGAAATGTACATAACCTGAGACGTGACCCTTTATGGGAGTCACAGACCCACTAATTCCACGTTCCATTGGAACATGCTATCTATGAAGAGGAGTCAAAAATTCAAACCAAACCAACTTAATTCCTCCCCACTAACTGCTCCCTCCCCCATACTTCAATCACAACTTTTTAAATAAACTGGAAATTTAACCTTGAAAATATAATAAACCTCAATAGCACTTTTATTTCTCCTCCTTGAAGAAAAAGGTCAGGAAACTTCATCCTAGACCAAACTCTACTGCCAGCAGCAGAGGTATCACTGAAACAACAATGCAGGGATTTAAGATATTTCTCAGGCAAAGTGATTACTTCTTTCCTTTCAGGTCTTCTTTTACCTTCCAAAGAACCAGTTCCATGCAGGCTGTTGCATTTTCACTTGAATTGTTGTGATCTCCAAATAACACAGAATATAAAACACTGTGTTAGACATACAATGACTGTATCCATGATACTACCCACAGCTGTTCTCAAAACGAAGCTTTGAGTTCATGTTTATAAAAAATTAACACTGGTCACTTAGTAAAACATGATTTTGATTGCTTTATAAATATTATACATAAATCTAGATTAGCAAACATCTCTTTTCTTATGTAGCCTCTCCTCACATTGTCACTTCTTTGCTGTGACAAGATAGTACATTGTTACCTTCTCCATGTACCTCTTTTCCAGAGAGAACAACAAAGTGGCAGGTATTAGTAAATGAGATCTGGCAAGAAGCCAAAAATAGAGAGTGCTAGAAAAAGAACAACTCTCTACACAAAGAATGACCTTAGATACAAAATGACGTGATTTTTTAAAGTGGATGAAATTTACCCAAAATATAAAGCCTATGGTTCTGATGAGAATAATATATATGAGATTAGATAAGAAAAATCAATGATCAGCACATCTAAAATGGTATGGCATTTTTCCTTTCTTGTATTATTCTGAAAAAATGGGGTATTCTATGTTTATATAAGCTGTTTTTTATTAAGTGAAATATTTTCATGTCTAAGGTTCAAGATGGTCTTCAATAGAACACATTACATTTTATAATAGAATTCTGTAGGAATTTTTTGAGATGTGAATATTTTTAGCAAAGCAGATAAAGACCCACTGTGAGATAGCATTAGCGTCTAACAGACAAAGAATGAAAGAGTAAAGACTGCAGGGTACAGTCAGTATTTTGCACAATTAATGACAGGATCAGACGGCCTTCCCATATCTTAGGTAATCTTTAGAAACATAGCATTAGAACATAAATTTTAACATACTCAATACTCAGAATTTTCTTAGAATTCTGTATTGTGCAAACGAGGAGCCTATATGGATAGGCACTAATGTATAGAGTAACTGGCCTCCATTCCAAGGCAGACACTGCTCACTGTGCATATGGCAATGCCACTGACAGGGTAGTTGGTAATTCTACTTGTACTTGATTCACTTGTTTAATGTTGGGTGTGTTTCATCAGGAAAAAAACAAAAACAAAAACAAAAAATGTTCTGAGAGCAAGATACACAAGCCAGTCAGTATACATCAAGTCCACATATGATGAATCCATTGAATTTGAACTATACTGCTTCTAACACACACACACAATTTACTGTGAGTGAGATAACCTGAACCCAGTGAATTTTAGAATCTATTTAATGAAAAGCATATATGAAAGAGGTACCCAAGAAAATTTAGACTGGAAAATTTAGACTGGAATTTCTTTCAGTTGGTGTAGATCTCCACACCAACTAAAGTTTTTATACATGAGCTCAAAGGCCAGGCAACTTGCCGAACAATGATCTGGCCATCATTCTCTATGTAGTTGCTAGTCTGATGCCTGTGGAAGATCCAGGACTACACCAGGCAGTGGACATTGGCACATAGTGCTTTTACCATAAGCAGAGGTTTTAGGGTTCTCCACCCTAGGGAAGAATCCATAAAGAAAAACCTGAAGTATTTCAGACAGCAGACCTTTTACCATGAATTACATGGTTTGTTTACTCAAGTCAGATTTAGGATTAATCACGAGCAAACAGGCTCTTACCATCATCCTGAATGATTCTCTGCAGGTAGTCAGCTACTAGACTCTTGAGGGATCTTTTGTGAGGCAAGCCTAGCCGATGAGGAAACAGAATTGTCGTGTCCACAACTGAAGAATGAATTAACTGTCCAATGAAAGAGAAATCCTATCAAATTCTCCTCAAAGAATTAACAACACCGATAGTAGCAACAATCACCGTAGGAGCAGAACCGTGCTCCACAGGCAAGGAATGGAAGGCAGTTAAGATATATTTGTCACTAAGTACTCCACATGGATTATCCATTACAACTTGCAGAGTAACCTAATAAGATAGCTATTTTATTGTTCCTTTTATTATATTCTTTTTTTTTTTTACAGCCAAGGGAACTGCAGCTCTGAGAGATTAAGAACAGAGTTAGTAGAGTCTCTGGAAATCAAATCTAAGCAGTCTGACTTGTGGATCCACTTTCTTCCTGTGAGCACCACAGGGGGCAGTATGTGCAAAGAGGTTCCAACAAAGACTTGGGGTGAATGCAGAGCCACGCTCCTCCCACCTTGGGACTCAGCTGAGGGTGTCACACCTCAACTTAGCACATGTCCTATCGCGTATTAGTGGCTTACTTGTCTGTGTCTGGGAAGGGGACATGGACAAGGACTCCATCCCATCTACATCCAAATTTCCTGTGCTTATAAATGAAAGATGATGAATAAATTCTTACTGAAGTTCCATAAAGCAGAAAATAAGATAAAAAGAAAAGCAGTCAGATAACTGAAAGCACTGAAACTTAGGTACCAGTTAGGATTCTTGAGGACGGGCGCTGTATTTTGAAAGGAGCATGGAAGAAGATTAGCTTCAAGAGTTAAAGACTCCTTGAAAACTGAGGAGTTGGAAATTTAACATTTAGCACCTAGTACCATGTTTAGAAGCACTTTAAATTCTCCTTTAATTTGTCAACTACCAAACAGACACCAGTTCCTAGCTGCAGGGTACTGAGTAAATAAAAGAAGGCGGTGGTGGAAAGAGAAAAATAGGAAAATCCATGGGTTATTTGGACAGAAAAAAATAAACTGATTACAATGAAGAATTGTGATGGTTTGAAATTTTCTGGTCTGGGAGACAAGTGGAATAGAATGGTTCATAAAAAAGGAGAGACAAAGTCATGGTGAGAAGTTCAGTTTGAGACGTGAGATCTCTGAGGTGACAGAGGGACATCCTGGAAGAGTTTTCTCAAAACTTAGGTTCCCCACCTCTTTTTTCCCCATTGTGTGGTAGGTCTGGGTGGAAGCACATCCCAGTCTTATCTGTCACATGCAAAGACAACACTGCTATTTGAAACAAATCTATACTTTGAATACCAGCTTTACAGAGAACAAGGCTGACATTTACCTATGAAATTTAAATGGCTTTATTTGTATTCTTGCACTAAAGAAGAACTAGCCTATCTCCGCATGAAGGTAAGTCCTAGGGGTAGCCAAACAAATAATCAGAAAGGTCTCCAAAGTTTAAAAGCTGTACAAGTAGTAAGCCATAGCCACATGTGGCTATTAAATTTAACATAAACAATGAAATCATTTTCTCAGTCACATTAGACATATTGTAAATGTTCAATAACCAATATGGCTAGTGTTACCACAGTAGATAGTGAAAATGTAGAAAGTTCCATTGGATACTAGTGTTCTAGAACAGAGGTAGCCACCAAACTCTCAACAGTACCAAGTTGTAAATATTTTGGGCTTGCAGACCACATGGTCTCTGTTGTAACTATTTAACAATGCTGTTATAGCATGAAAGCAGCCACAGAAAATACAGCAGTGAATGAGAGCAGTGGTTTTAACAAAAAATATCTGCAAAAATAGGTGGCCGTCATGGGCCACAGTGTTCTGACTCCTATTCTAGAACACAGAGCAAAGAACAGATAATTTTAACCTGAAGTGTATTAAAGAGTAGATTTTCAAGTCTATCATGCCAAGAAAAATGAACATGACATTTGATTTTGAGCCTACCTATAAGATCTGACTTAATATGAAAAAGCATCTCCAAGTAGGTGAATAAAATAACTTGTCAGATAAACTAGTCTTAACCATATGAATATTAAACACAAGATTAAAGACAATGTCAAACAATGATTTTGGTTTTTATCATAACCAATGGATTTTCTTTTTGATCTGGATGAGCCAAATGACTTTAGCTGTCTTACACTGCTTCTGGTTTATGATGGCTGGGCTATATTATCAACGTGGACAGCAAAATTCTTTTTTTCTTGGTTAACAGGACAAACAATGATAACACAATGATAAGGACTACCGTCTTAACACATGCTGTTTTGAAAATTACAAGCCAGTAATTCTTTACCTTAAGAGCATACAGACTATGTTCAAAGCTATGTCCAATTAGTACAGTGTCAGCACTGAACAGGTTCAACAGAATGGCTTGGACGTCACGGATTGATGTTTTAGTGTTCTTCAAGTCATCTTCCACCACACCAGACAACCTGCCCCAGTAAGACACATAATGCATGCAAGAAGGTAACTCGCTGAATTTCTTGTTATAGTTGGAACACATCACTGACCCAATGTGACTAACATTCACTGAACAAAAAAACAAAGATCTTACTTATTATGACCATCAGTTACCCCTCTATAGTAGCTTATATTTACAAATCATTTATCGGATAAGAGGTTAACATCCAAAATATATATAGAACTCCCATGACTCAACAAAAAAAAATTCCAAACAAGCCAGTTAAAAAACAGGCAGAGGATCTGAGTAGATATTCTTGTAAACATATACAGATGGCCATGAGACCATCATGAGAAGATGCTCAATATCATTCATCATCAGGGAAATGCAAATCGAAACCACAAGGTATCACCTCATGACTGTCAAAATGGCTATCTCAAAAAGATAAGAAATAACAAAAGTTAGCCAGGATGTGGAGCAAAGGGAACCTTTGTGCACTGTTGGGAATATAAATTGGTGCAGCCAATGTACAATATGTATGGTACACAGTCACATATGCTATGAAAAACATGGAGCTTCCCCAAAAAATTAAAAACAGAACTACCATTTGATCCACTAATTACCCTTCTGGGTATTATCTGAAGAATATGAAAGCACTAATTTGAAAAGACATATGAACTCCAGTGTTTATTGCAGCATTGTTTTCAATAGTCAAGACATGGAAACAACCTAAATATTATTTGATGGATGAATGGATAAGAAGATGTGGTATAATATCTACAAAGAAATACCACTTAGCTCTAAAAATCAATGAAATCTTGCCATTTGTGACAACATGGATGAACCTTGAGAGTATTAGGCTAAGTGGAAAAAATCAGAGAAAGACAAAAGCCATAGGATTTCACTATTACGTGGGATCTAAAAAACAAAATAAGTGAACAAACAAAACCCATAGATATGGAGATCAGAATGGTGGGTTTCCAGAGGGGAAGGCGGTTGGGGGTAGAAAAACTGGCTTAAAGAGACCAAGAGGTATACATTTGCACTTGTAAGTCAAGGGGATGTAATGTACAGCATGGGGACTATCATCTTTAATACTGTACTGTAAATTTGAAAGTTGCTAAAAAAGTAAATCTTCAAAGTCCTTATAAGAAAAAAAAATTTAAACTTTGGTGACAAAAGGTAACTAGGTCTTATTGTGATCATTTCACATGTAGACAAATGACAAATCATTATATTGTACACCTGAAACTGATAATGTATTCCAATTACACTTGAACAGTTAAAAAAGATACCTGGCTCCATCATCAAGCTTAGGGAATGTGATGCATGATTCATCAAATATTTGTATTAAGAGTAAATTATTGTAGAGTACTTGGTCTTATCTTAAAACAATGAAAAAATGCAATGCATTGAATGCATTTGAAGGTTTTTTTTTGAGACTCAAAAATGATTTATAAAGCAAGTCCCACAGTTATCATTTTGTCACTATGAATATCAATAATTACCAAGTACTTCCTGACTTGTTCCAAAAAAGCAGTTAGGAAAGAGTGCATTAAAACCATGGAAGAACAGGGGTGGCCTGGGTGGCTCAGTGGTTGAGTGTCTGCCTTTGGCTCAGGGCAGGAATCCCGGGATCGAGTCCCGCATCGGGCTCCCTGATTCTTTTCCTGTGCCTCTGCCTCTCTCTCTCTCTGTGTCTCTCGTGAATAAATAAATAAAATCTTTAAAAAAAAAAAAACATGGAAGAATAAGTACCAATAGAAGTACAGCAACTGTAACTCTACTTACAGTTTTGTTTATCAATATACCCCAATAAAGCTGGAAAAAAACCCAGAAAAATAGATAGGGCTATTCTCATGTGGCCAAAATGAATAGGAAAAAAAATCCAAAGCGGTCAGGAGAAAGATTAGCATACAAAATGTATTTTTGGATAATAGCAACCTTTATGGAGATTTTTATGCATATAACCATTTTTATGAACTGTGAGGGAATTCAGGTTAAAAAATGCTGTAACATTGACTCAATAAAAGTACTAAGCTAAAACTCACCTAAACAACATGTTGAATATTCTACATTCTCAAAAGCTAACTCTTATATAATACATACCTGGTGTTATAGTCAATGACTTCATCATCTGGTTTCACAAATGTATCGTAGACCACCTGGAGGCTGGGATCAACCACTGTCACTTGAGTAAGTTCCAAACCTTTGGCTGTATAGCACTGGAAAAGGGGAAATACTAAACTTACATATCATATTCAGTAAACATTTTAACATCTGAAATATCTTAAAGGAGTATTTCTAACTAGAATATACAATTTAAGTATATTATTTGGATTTGCTAACAAAAGCCAGTCAGTGGATCTGACGGTCTTATAAAAGATGTTGCAAGCTTTAATTTTTTTCTTTAATGTTAGTAATATTTCTCTAATAAAATAATTCCATTTTCTTGGCTTAGTCTTTACAATTATTTTCATTAAAGATCAGTGCTATCCAGTAGATCATTCCATGATGATAAAATGTTCTATTTCTACACTAATGCAGCAGCCACGAGCCACAGGTATGAGGGGTGCCTGTGTGGCTCATCAGTTAAGCTCATGGCTCTTGATTTCAGCTCACATCATGATCTCAGGGTTGTGATATGGAGCCCCGTATTGGGCTCTGCACTTGGCATGGGGCCTGCTTAAGCTTCTCCCTCTCCCTCTTCGTCTGCCCCTTCCCTACTCACATGTGTACATGCTCGCTCTCAAAAAATAAAATATGGCTAGTGTGACTTAGGGATTGAGTGTTACCATGGTGGAAAATGCAGTAATAGGTCTTGTTGAATGAAAAAAAGAAAATCTTTACCATAAACATATAAACATGGCATTGCAGAGGATGACATGATAATGACAGTGGATTTCAAAGCCTGAAACAGCCTTAATTGTTTCCAGTTACAGATCTCAGCTTCAAACTGAACAAGGCCCTTCTGTATTTATCATAATTAAACTCTACAAATCTGTTCTCCAAATACACTATAGGGAATTAAAATTTTATGTTTCTGTAGAGAAGTTGTTCACATGATATTTGACACATCCAATGTACGTGAGAATATGATCCCATATTATAGTATATCTGATTTTCACAGTAACTATGGAGTAGTTATTAACCCCATACTTTACAGATGAGAGCATCCAGGACCCTTGCTCTGGGGTGCCTGTGGGTAAGTGGTAGAGCTTCCCAGGTCATAGGATTCCAAGTTCTATTTGTTCCCTACTTTTTCCTTTTGATTCTCATATAAAGAAAAATCCCTCTAAGTATTTTATTGTCTCTATAAACAATAGTTTTCAAAAATTTATTCTAGCTTTTATGTTTATTCTGGGGATAATGGGTACTACTTTAACATTTTCTACCCATAGAGTTTCAGCATTTTGAGGAGTAGGATCACCATTGGTGATATAAAAGGAAAAATTAATAAATAAAAAGATGACCAGGGAGCAATTCCTGGCTCTGTCCCTTACAAAATATAGGAGTTCCTTTAAGTCATCTAACTCTATTCAACTTTAGTTGCTTCTGAAAATATATGAACTACACTGCAGAGCTATGTGGGATGGAGATAAAGCCCAGCGAAGTGCTATTATGCAATGTAGAATGCTCCAGAATTATTCACTTGCAATTATTGCAATAAGGTAAAGAGAAAACACTGACATACCACCTCACAATTCACAGCAAATACGCCGGGATTGCCATCAGGAGGAGAGGACTTGACAAAAGTCTTCACAAATCCCTTGATGTTTTCTTTTTGGTCATGAACGTGAAGCTGAAATAAACATTGCAAAATAAATTACTATATATTTCTGAAGGAGCAATTAAGCTCATAATAATTTTATTAAAAATTAGCTAATTAATTCTTTCAAAGGCTTATTGATCTTTGGAAGCAACACCTCTGGTCTTAAAATGAGAGGACTCTGGATGACAAGCCCTACCTTGGCGACCTGACACCCAGCAGATCCAAGGACACCTCCACAACAGCTGTACCGTGTTTCTAAGCCACCGAGGACTGCAACCAACAAAAAATAAATATCAAAACAGGCAAGCTTTATAAAGCAGAAGTGGCTCACTTCCAGAGCATGTGTCTTACCTTACCCTCAAAGATCTTTAAGGACATTGCTGTGCAATGTGCACTCCACATAGTCCTATTTTTATTTTTTCATTTTTTATAAGATTTTATTTTTTTGAGAGAGAGAAAGAGAGAGCACACATGCATGAGCGGGGTGTTGGGGGAGGGGGCAGAGGGAGAGGAAGAAGCAGGCTCTAAGGAGCTCGATGTGGGGCTCAATCTCAGGACTCTGGGATCATGACCTGAGCCAAAGGCAGATGCCACCCAGGTGCCCCGACAAAGTCCTATTTTTAGATATTACATAATGAACAGAAAAAATCAACTCCTGGAAACAGAGTTCTTATGGGTTGCACTTAGAAGATGAATTACAATTACCAATGTCCTGAACATCTTCCATCCCCTCTCTTCCTCTTTCCCTCATTTTGCCCTGGTCCCTCAGCAATCCTCTGGTATCATTTTTTTTTAAGATTTTATTTATTTAATGAGAGAGAACGAGCGAGCAAGCACAGGTACATGGGGGGGGGGAGAAGAGGGAGAAAGAATCTCAAGCAAACTCCGCTGCTGAGTAGGGAGGCCCATGCAGGGCTTGATGCCAGGACCCTGTGATCATGACCTGAGCCAAAATCAATAGTCAGTTACTTAACTGACTGAGCCACCCAGGCATCCAGGTGTCACTTTTTTATTGTGCTTTGACTTTACCTCAACTATCTTTTCAAACTTCCCTACTCCTTGACCTTTTCTCTCTACTAGAGCCCTCTGGTTGAGGGGCTCCAACAACCACCTTCTCCCTTCTTGTGTCTGAGTTGTTGATCTGACCCAAGAGATATCACCCAGTTATGTAGACTGAGACCCCAACAAGATGGCACCTCCAGCCTTGGCTGGACCTACCAAAGCCTGATGCCCTCTCCTTCTGCATCTCTGACTGGTACTTTGCACATTTTCACAGCCATAATCCCAAGCCTTTGTATCTCTTTTCTTACTCCACTCCCATATTCCATCTCATCTGCTCCCTATTCACCTCAGCCCTTCTTTCCTTGGCCAAGGTGACATTCTCCCAACTGTTCCATCAAGTCCTTCTGTCTCCAGTGGTTTCTGCACCTGTTTTCCTATAAAATGTGGTTAAGATTGATTTTCCTGAAGCACATATACATTATATCATTTTCCTCAAGTCGTCCCCTGGTGCATTACTGATTAAATGCAAACTTCTCAGGCTGGCACTGAAGGCTCTTGCTTAACCAGCCTTACATTACTTCCCCAATTTTGAAACCCCACAGCTTTATGATGAGAAGGGGAGGCAGAGAACCAGTAGTAACACAGCATCTATTATAAGCCAGGACTTTGACATGTATCAGCTCACTGAACTGCCACATAAAGCTCATTCTATGAAGGTGGAAACGAGAGCTCAAGGGAGCTTTAATAATTTGCCCAAGGTCTCAGAGAAAATAGGTGGCAAAAAAAAAAAAAAAAAAAAGCCCTAAATTTCAGGTCTGCTGGCTCCAGAGTCCTTGTTCTCTTCATTACACTGTGTTGTCTGGTTAGCCCAACTGGTCTGTCTGCTATACTTACTCTTCCTTCCCATCTTCCCTCTTTGTTCTTCTTTTGGAATTCACAGTCCCTCCCCCAACTGAAACTAAGCCTTCTGTGCTCTCAGCATTTAGGCCAAACCTGCCTGATTTACTTGACAATTTATCCATGTTTATCTATTGTCATTCAATCATTCAATTCAATGCCCACTGTTCTGTTCTATTTCCTTCTCCCTGCTTTATCTCCTTCATACTATTCATTACAGTCCCATTCATATTCATGCCTATCTGTACATCAATAATTTATCTGTCCACCCATTTACCCAAATATTTATTGACAGCCCATATGTGTCAGGTACTATGCTAGGTGCTGAGGGAACAACAGAGAGAAAAAACAAGAATGGGTGGTGGTCCCTCCCAAAGGGCAGTCTTTTGGAGATGGCAGATGAATGACTAGATCATTCCAGAATGTAGTTAAGTGCAATGAAAAGAAGAGGCAGATGTTGAGACAGAAGAGGGTTAGACCTCTTTCAGATGGTGGGGCTGGGAAAGGACCTTGTGGAAGGACCCGGCCATGACAAAAGCAGAGACAACAGACAAGGAAGCTCTGGACAGAGGGCCAGGGTGCTGTGAAGGGGACAACGGACAGCATGGACGATGGGGGGTGGAGGCCACATCCCCCAAGGTCAGCAAAGTAACTGAAGGCTTTTAATCAAAGCTGGGCAGAGACAGGACTGGAAATGTGATATAAAAAGTTATCCTAGGGGCTTGGGGTGAAAAATAGATTTGCGGGAATTAAGGGGTGATAGAAGCAGTGAGACTGAGCAAGAGGGCAGTGCTGCAACTGAGGACAGCAGTGGGGGTGGCTTGGACCCAGGCAGGGGCACCTGAGGAAGGTGGAGAAGGAGCAGGTTCAGTCCATATCTTGGAGCAGGAACAAAGGAGACATGTGCACGGCTAAGATACAAAGGTGCCCAATGGGGAGACAGGATGGCACCCGGGTTTCTGGTTTGCAGAGGAAAAACACCCAGTTGACTGGACTGTAGCCAATTTACTGTGTCGCAGGGAAGATTGAGGCCGACAGGGGAAGGAATCAAGAGTTCGTCACTCACTGCCGGGCGGGGTGGCAAAGAAATTATTCTAATCCTGGCAGGTGCAAAGCAGGTGAAGACTGGAGGGAGCTGACTGCCTGGAGGTCCCCCGCACAACTGTCCCAGCCTGGGAGCTTCCTGGGCCCACAGGCCGCAGGGTAGGAGGCAGTGCTCAGAGCTAGGTGTTCGGGATTCAAGCTTCACTAGGTACTGTCTCTCTTTGCAGGACTGCATTTAACACATACAGTGAAGGGAATACTTCATTCCACTTTTCCCTCAACAGCTCGGGCACTGGCCGGTCACCCAATGAAACACAACTACCAAGCACTTGCCTTTACGACTCAGCACAGGGCCGAAGTGGTAGTTACATTCTTCTACCCTGCTGTGTTTGCCCGTGGATGTCACACCATATATTTTCCCACAACGACAGCATATCTTCCTTGAAGCTAAAACAAAGTAGGAAGTAAAATTATTCATGAATATATGGAAAGAAAAATGGATGGAAGTACAGGGAATTACTGCCTGTGCATTCTTGATCATGCACGGATTATACACCCAGTGCTGACCACGAAGTCACAGGAAAGGAACAGAGCTACTCAAAGGAATATTTGCGGGTGACCTGCTCATGGTACCAGGGCTGCCCTTCCCCAAGCAGGCATCCCCTGCTTGCCTCCAGACTCAGCCTAGTACCAGATAATTGTGCACCACAGTGTGGCTGGAGCCAACTTGATGAGCTATCCATGTTACTACACAGGAGCTCCTGAAATAGGATGCCTGTCTTATTATTTTATCCCTTTTACACATATAGTGACCTGTAGGTATATTAAGGATATCTGAGCTTTTCATTAGATCCAGTTATGAATATTTTTTTATTAATAATCCTTAAACTGGTTCTGATGACAGTAGCAACTTTTATCTGAATGTCTATTATGAGCTTCTGAGGCAGGCACTGTGCCGAGCACTTCACATGCATTCCTGGAACTGATTCTCACAACAGCCTGATGGAGTAGCTACTACAACCCAGAACTGGGTAAACCAAGGCTTGGGAGAGGTTAAAGGACTTATCCAGCATCCAAACCCAGATTTGCCTTCCCCCTTCAGAGCCCACATTCTTAACTGGGTGAAGGATTTAGAAAAAAAATAACACAAATGACAAAGATAATCCTGAGAAAAGTTGTTAACCATACAAAAGATAAATATTTTCTAGTCACTGAAAAATATTTCTATAACTGCATTCCAAACTCTAATGGACCTAAGACTTTACAGTTGTGGTGTTAAGTATACTATATTTTCTTCTTTTTGTGGGGGAGGAATGAATTTTAACTAACCATGCCTAGTATTTAGAGAAAATGTAGAATAACAATACTAATTTTAAATCTTTTGATAAGAATTCCTAATGAAAGGATACAAAGTATTCAAAACAAGACATTGCATATGTATATAAAAAGTAGGAGTAAAGACTCCAGACTCAGACTCCTCTGGTTTAAATCCTGGCTCTACTACTTATTTTCAGAGGGACTCCTGAGAAGTCATTTGACCTGTGAATGGAGGTAATGCTAGTACTTATCTGAAATGATTAAGATTTAATAAATAAATAATGTAAATAAACTACTTAGATACTAGAAATGAATTGGAAAGGGAAATAATCCTTTTACTGTTCCAACCCTGGTAAGGAGTGAGGATCATTTTCAGTTCCACATACTTACTGTCATTTACAAGAGCTTTCGTCATGCCTGTGGTTAAAAGAATACTTCCCAGTTTCTCAGGGTTGGGTTGGGGATAATTATTTTCATGTAACTGTTCTTTACTTAGAAGATAGTCTTTCAGATGTCTGTAGAGAGTAATTCCTGTGAGGGCTAAGGAAAAAGAAAGGGCAATTTGATAAAATTTAAATACTATGTTTTAAAGGAGTGGTAAGATTAGAGTCTACTAACCCTTCCAGACATGAAAAGCTAGGATGCTGATTAACATTAAGTAAGGGAGTAACCTAAAAGAATTCAAGTCTCCATATCTTCTGACAGAAAGGAAATACACACACACACACACACACACACACACACACACACACACACACACATTGCTTCCGCATCATGTAATGTCCTATACTTTGGATCAGAGAAGGGAAAGAATCAGATCAGCAATAGCTAGAGCATATTAAGCGTGCCAAAAACTATCCTAAAGACTTTGTTTTAAACTTTACATGAACCCAGAAGGGCAAACATATTGACCTTGTTTTTACAGAAGAGGAAAATGAGGCTCAGAGCAATGAGGACACACGCCCAAGGTTACACGGCACGGCTAATACACAACTCAGGTCCTCTGGTTCCAAATCACGCTTATTGATTCTTAATAGTCACTGAGATAAGAAGGGTACAAAAGCTTACAAGCAGAAAACATGGTGACTTTCACATGGGCAAAATTCTCAAGTTAAAAGATCTTTTTCTAACATCACTAACTCTAATCCCCTCGCACTGGTGGATTCTTAAAAATTCTCCTAATATATTATTTAAAACTCTGGCAGAATTTGCTAGACTATCTTTGGCAAACCCTTTTGTAAAAGGAAGAATTCTTCTGTGTGAGAAGTATTAGGAGATTCTAGAAGCACCTACTTTGTTTCAGACAAGTACTTGCAGGACAAGTACTACCATCTGGTTTTATTCAAAATACAACCAAATTCAAGGAACACCTTTTCTCTAGCTTCTTGCTCCTGGGAGTTTGTTATAAATTCAGACTTTGAGACTGTTCCCAGACCCACTGCAGCAGAATCTTCATTTTAACAAGATTCCCAGGCAATTACATGCATGTTAAGTTTGAGAAGCACTACTCTTACTATGTTAACTATCCTCGCTCTCAAAAAAAGACACTGAGAATTCAAATACTACCTGAGTAGAGCCCATTTTTTCACCTATTTATACTAATTTTGATAAAGGATATCAAATATGTCTGGCCTGCAGATGACCCCTCATAAGCACAATAGTTACAACTGCATTATGCCACATTTACTTCTTTAAGGTGACATGGACAAGGGTCTGTCATCATTACACCAAGCTTACCACTATTCTTTTCATTCTTTTTCAATCCAGTTGTTTTGCTGTTGTTCCTGCTTCCAGACATATCTAAAACATACAAGAACTTTTCTCCTGAGACAATGAGTTATTTTTGTCTGCTTCATAAAAAAAATACAGAACACAAGAAAGGTGTACAGCATAATAAAATCTTTATTTTTACCTTAAAACAAGCACCCAACAAGTGACACCAAACGTCTTCCTAACCAATTCTGAGTTGGGAAAAAAGTTAAATTTACTGAACTACTAAATAGGTCAGGACTTCATATTTTCCAAAGCTAATATATTTTGTATATTAGCTACAGTATGTCTAAATGTGAGTCAATGAGTTTTCATCATCATTGACTGCAACTCTAACAGCTTGCAAATCATTTTTCTATTTCCATTGCAAATATCCAAAATATGTACTTAGACCTCTATGTTCAATTTCCATATGCTATATATAATATGAAAAGGGGGAAGTTAGAATACCATAAAAATACTAATCTAAGAGATCTTGTATATTTGTTATTTAAAATCTTTTTTATTTTATTACATTTAAAATTTTTTAACCCATTAAAGCTAGCATACAGTGTTATAACAGTTTCAGGTGTACAATATAGTGATGCAACACTTCCATACATCACCTGGTGCTCATCACAAGTGCCCTCCTGTAATCCCTATCACTTTTTTCACCTAGCTCCTCCCCAGCTCCCCTCTGATAACCAACAGTTTGCTCTCTGTAAAGAGTCTGTTCTTTGGTTTGTCTCTTTTTTCCCCTCTGTTCATTTGTTTTGTTTTTTAAATTCTACATACAAGTGAAATCAGTATGTCTTTTTCTTACTTTGCATAATATATTCTAGATCTATTCTCATTGTTGCTAACAGCAAGATTCATGCTATTATATGGCTGAGTAATATTACATTGTGTATGTATACAATGTACACACATATGTATATAAATATATATATAAATAATTTCTTTATCCTTTCATCTATCATTTGGGGCTTCCGTAACTTGGCTATTGTAAATAGTGCTGCAATAAACATAGGTGTGCATATGTTCTTTTGAATTAGCATTTTCTTTTTCTTTGGGTAAATACCCAGTAGTGCAATAACTGGGTCATAGGGTAGTTTTATTTTTAATTTTTTGAGGAATCTCCATACTTGTCTACAGTGGCTGCACAGTTTGCATGCCCACCAACATTGCATGAGGATTCCTTTTCCTCCACATCTTCACCAACACTTGTTGTTTCTTGTGTTTTTGATTTTAGCCCTTCTGACAGGTGTGAGGAGATAGCTCATTGTACTTTTGATCTGCATTTCCCTGATGATGGGTAATGTTGAGCATCTCTTCATGTGTCTGATAGCCATCTGTATGTCTCCTTTCAAGAAATGTCTGTTCATGAGAGTGTGTATATAATGCATGTTTAAGTCTACTTAAAGTACTATATATTTTTAAAAACTCATAAAGAATTAATAGTTTTTATATTCTTGAAATTTTAATAGCCTAAGTATGACACAAAATCCAGAAACTAAAAAGGAAAATACCTTCTATATTATTAAAAACTTCATAAATAAGGCTGAAGTACAAGTGAAAAACTAAGGAAACTATCTGCAGTGCACTAAAAAGGGATACACAAAAAGTTGTTGTAGATGAATAGGCCAATAATAAAGGGGGGGCAGAAGGATGTAAAAAGAATTTTAAAAAGAGAGCGGAAATGGAAGGTCTTCATAGCAATAAAAAAAGATTACAATAACTTCACTTCTAGTCTATACTTTTACATTCTGAAAGATGATAAATGATTCACTTTTGCAAGGTGTGAGGACAAACACACATTCTCCTACCTTATAGGTGGGGTAAACACTTTCTGGAGGCAGTTAGAAATATTTACTAATTTTAAACATGCAGACCCTTTCTGCTAGCTAGTCTGCACAGGAATTTATGCTAAGGATATATATGCTCTAGAATGAGGAAATGTTAGAGTTCACACTCCATTAATCACAGAACTTATGGTAGAAAAAACATGTAATCAACCTAAATACTCAGATGCATTTGTTTCATCTGCATTACACAAAATGGAACATCAATAGTATAGATTCTATATAGTTATCATGTAGTCATTAAAAAGTATACAACAGATCTAGATGTTAACAAATTCTAGATTAACTTGACTAGAGACTTCTAGGATACCTTACTCAGTGAGAAAAGTTAAACTATGCATAACATGATTGTATTCATTTAAATTATTAACATTTTATTTCTGTATTCATTATAGCAGGGTCTATATAGAAGATTTGGAAATTTGTTTTTTTTTTGTTTTTTTTTTTGTTTTTTTTTTTTTTTAGAGAGAGAGCATGAGTAGGAGTGGGGGAGGGGGAGAGGGAGAGGGAGCAAGAGAATCTTAAGCAGTTTCCACCCCCAGCATGGAACCCAAATGTGGAACTCAATCTCACCACCCTGAGATCATGACTTGGGCCAAAATCAAGAGTTGGATGCTTAACGGACTGGCCACCCACATGCCCCTAGCTGTTTTGTTTTTTAATACTTTTCTGTATTATTTGAATTCATGCCGTGTATTCTCAATGGGGGTGGTACTGACCCTGAGCAAACAAAACTGGCTTTTATGGAATAAAAAAAAAAAATCATAGTCATTACAATAGTAGTGGCTCTCCAAAACTCAACCTTATCCAACAAAATATTATCCCTTAATACTTAATATTACTGGGGGCTGCGGTGGAGTTGGTAGAAAAAAAAGTGTCTAAAAAGAGGCCTGAGGGGGAATAATGAAAACAAAGAAATACTATTCTGCATGAATGGGTTGCTTTTATAACCAAAAACCAAGTTTAAATATCTTTGTGATAACCACTCTTGAGGAATTATATTCCTTTGTCTATTATCAAGTCTAATTTGTTATCTTCAACCAAAAATCCCACTTCACATTCTACTCATGAGAATATTTTAAAAATACAGAGTATCTAAAAATGACCCTAATGAAACAACACATTCAGTGTCAGGTGTTCATCACAAGTTTTTATCTTACCACTTGACTAATTAAAAACAAATTACCTTGATGTCTCAGCTTCCTAAGAGTATTTATTGCTATGTTCACATACATATTTCTACTGCCACAGCGTTCATAAATGGCCTTTTCTTCTATTTTAGCCTAGAGCATGAAGTGAATAAGAAAAAATATTAAATCTCAAGTCTAAGTATAATAAATATCATTTATGATATACTGGAATAAATATGGCAAAATATTTAACTCGAGGGATGGGGAAAAATGGTGGCACAAATAAAAAACAACTTATTTTACATTTTTTATGTTTATGGTTCTTAAGAGAAAAGAAAAAAATAAACTTATCCAATGAATCAAATCTAAGAACTAAATACTTATCGTTACAAACTAAAACCACAGTATAGAATGTACAGTGCAAAAAGCCTACAGTGTATATGAATTCATTCAATTCTCAAAGGGAGCCCCTAATGTATCAAAGGCACATACTATTATTCTCATCTAAAAGTGAGGAAACTAAGCCCAAATTGCTAAATACTTTGCTTAAGATCACACAACGGAGGGAAGACATGATCCTCTTTTCATCATCTTTATTTTGTATGTTACTTTTCTAAAGCTATAAAGTAATAATTATTTTTACACCAGGACTCATTAACATAGGTAGTAAAAAAGAAAAGTGGATGAAATCTGACAGAAACAGGTAAAAGGAATAAAATAATAAATAGTATATTGATACTTTATGGAGCACCGAGTATGTGCAGCTTTTATATAAGCTCATTAAATATTTTCTCAGTCTTCATCATGATTCTGTGGGCATAGGTGCTGTCATCACTAACATCTATGAGGTTAAGAAAAAGTAAATATTTTACTGTTGCAGAGCTAGTAACTGAATCCAGGTGTGCCCAAATGCCAAGGCCAAGACTTTTCTCACTATACTAACTTCACAGAGAGAAAGCCGTGGGAGTTGGTGGGGGGGAAGGGGGGCGCAGGTTGGGGAGAGAAAAGAAAACAAACAAAAAAGGGTAACATTTCTCTGTAAGAGACTGCTTTTTTGTTTGATTTGCCATTATTCTTTAACAACCAATATAGAATCCTAGAGGAGACAGACTTCTGGAATGGCAGGATAAGAACTTTCATGAACTCACTGTCCCATTAAAATAAAAATACTGGCAAAACCATTTCAAAACTCTGAAAATTAACCAAAGCCACAGAACAAATGGAAATTACCTAAGAGAAACTACTGAACCTCGGTAAAACAGTGGGGTCTATACCATCTTAGTTGAGGCTTTTCTCACCCCCAGCTTAACAGCATAGCAGTAAAAGGTTGGCAGCCTGGTAGCCAACAGAGAAGAGAGACTTTTTTTTTTTTTTTTGACTACATGATAAGCATCATCCCCAGAGCACAGTCAATATTTTGTCTGAACAAGCAGCTCCGTGGAAAATCTCTATTCCCAGGGTGTTGTGGGTATTTAGACTCTGAACTCAGCTCACGGGGGCAGAGGTACCTATTCCCAGGGTGCTATTAAAACAGTTAGCAATTGGGTGGCAATACAGAAGCTACCCAAGGTTACGATTTCCCAATTGGCAAACAGGAATCTGGCCAGGATTTTTTTTTAAAGATTCTATTTACTTATTCATGAGAGACACACAGAGAGAGGCAGAGACATAGGCAGAAGGAGAAGCAGGCTCCCTGCAGGGAGCCCAATATGGGACTTGATCCTGGACCCCATGATCATCAAGGCAGATGCTCAACTACTGAGCCACCCAGGTGTCCCTGGCCAGGAATTTTTTTAACAATCTTGGAGATCTAGATGACCATAAAGAACTCTGAAAACCTCTGACATGTTCCTGGGGCTTAAGAGGTGGCCAGGAAAGACATAGGAAAAGAGAAGGCCCTATAAGGCTGTTCTTGAAGCCCTGGTACAAGCAGGAAGTAAAAGTTAATGCTATCTACATACTGTGGTAAGTTTTAGGGCATGTCTTGTCACATAGGGCCCTTGGCAAATAGAGGAAGACATAAAGACAAGGCATTTAAGAAAATTTTCTAACCAGTCATTGGCTGACCAGTAAATTATGCTGACAGAGGGTGACCCCTTTGAAGTCAGCCTTAAAATAAAAAATAACTTAAAAAACAATGCTACTAGAGAACTTAGTGGTCATATACTGAAATGAATACAAAATCTACAGAATTAGTCCAGTAACAGGACTTGTTTGTCACTAAACAAGTAATTAGCAACAAGGAAAACAAAACCTAGCAACAACAAAATGTATCTGACACCAGATTTATCACAATATACTATTTAACCAAATGCTCTTCAACAAAAAAAAAATTATGACTCATGTAACAAAACAAAAAAGTGTATCTCATAAAGGAAAAAAAAAACAGCCAAGAGAAAACATCCCTGAGGAAGTCCAGGTTTTGGACTTAGTAGGTAGTAGGCAGATTTTGTAAGTATGTCTAAAAAACTTAAGGTAACCATGTTTAACGAATGAAAGAAAATGGTGTCTTAACACATAGGGAACTTGAGTAAAGAAAAACTCAAAAAATAAATTTTTTTAGAAGTTCTGGATCAAAAAGTGTAAAAATTGTAAAAAGTATAAAAGGTGTAAAAAAATCAGGGCTCAACAACAGGTATACTAGATGGTTATTTGGTGGTTTGGGAGTTTTGCTTTTTGTTTTCATTTTTAAAAAGATTTTCAGGGAGAGAGGGCATAAAAGGGCAGAGAGTCAGAGAGAGAAGCAGACTCCCCGCTGAATGGGGAGCCCAATGAAGGACTCAATCCTGGGATTCCAGGATCATGATCTGAGCTGAAGGCAGACACTTAACTGACTGAGCCACCCAGGTATCCACTAGATGGTTATTTGAATCCACATGAGAAATAAAGAATATTGGCAAATATAACTTCATAGGAAAATATAAAAGAGAATAAATGTGTTTGTTTATAATCCTTTTCTATTTTAAATACCATAGAATAATTATAAAATTGTGCTGATAGGCTTGTAAAATGTATGATAATAATAGTATAAAGGAGGGGGTAGGAAACATAGGGACAAAATTTTTGTATACTATTGAAATCAAGGTTTTAATCTGAACTAGATTGTTGTAATTTAATATGGTAACTGTAATCCTCAGGGCAAAACTAAGACAATAACTTAAAAAATATAGCCAAAGAAATGCCAGGGCATTTAAATATTACACTAGAAAATATCTACTTAACACACAAAAAAGTACTAATTATAGAGAAAATAAAAAGACACAAGACATAGAAAACAGCCAAATAGAAGATGTAAATCCTCCTGTTGGTCATTAGTTAATAAAGGTAAATTGATCAAATACTCCAATCAAAAGCCGAGATTAGAAAATTGGGGAAAATATACTTAATTGTATGCTGCCTAGAAGATGAAAAAAGAAAGATCTAAAGTGTCTAAGTGTCACCCAACATGGGGTCAAACTTATGACCCTGAGATCGAGAGTTGTATGCTTTACCAACTGAGCCACCCAGGCACCCCAAGATAGACACTAGATTTAAAGACCAAACAGGCTGAAAATAAAAAAGAAGTACTTTGTAAATAGCAAAACATATTTGGAATGGCTATACTAATATCAGACAAAACAGATTAAAAAACTTTTTAAATTTAAAATTATTAGTGAATATATAGTGCAATACTGGTTTCTGGAGTAGAATTCAGTGATTCATCACTTACATACAACACCCAGTGCTCACCATAACAAGTGCCCTCCTTAATACCCATCACCCATTTAACCCACCCCCCACCCACCTCCCTCCATCAACCCTCAGTTTGTTCTCTATCATTAAGAGTCTCTTATGGTTTGCTTCTCTTTCTCTTTTTTCTTCTTTCCCCCCTTCCCATATGTTCATCTGTTTTTCTTCTTAAATTCCACGAGTAAGATCATATGGTATTTGTCTTTCTCTGATTTATTTCACTTAACATAATACTCTCTAGTCCCACCCACATCATAGCAAATGGCAAGATTTCATTTTTTCTGATGGCTAAGTAATAATAGTCCATTGTATATATATATAACACATCTTCTTTATCCATACATCAGTTGATGGACTTTTGGATCCTCTCCATAATCTGGCTATTGTTGATAATGCTACTATAAACATCAGAGTACATGTACTACTTCAAATCTGTATTTTTGTATTCTTTTTTTTTTTTTTATAAATTAATTTTTATTGGTGTTCAATTTACCAACATACAGAATAACACCCAGTGCTCATCCCGTCAAGTGTACCCCTCAGTGCCCGTCACCCATTCACCCCCACCCCCCACCCTCCTCCCCCTCCACCACCCCTAGTTCATTTCCCAGAGTTAGAAGTCTTTATGTTCTGTCTCCCTTTCTGATATTTCTCACACATTTCTTCTCCCTTCCCTTATATTCCCTTTCACTATTATTCATATTCCCCAAATGAATGAGAACATACACTGTTTGTCCTTCTCCGGTTACTGTGGCCAAGTTCAAAAAGGGTGTTGCCTGAGTTCTTCTCTGGGATTTTGATGGAATCTTGTCTCACATTTAGATCTTTCATCCATTTTGAGTTTATCTTTGTGTATGGTGCATGAGAGTGGTCCAGTTTCATTCTTCTGCATGTGGATGTCCAATTTTCCCAGCACCATTTATTGAAGAGACTGTCTTTCTTCTAGTGGATCGTCTTTCCTCCTTTATTGTATATTAGTTGAGCATAAAGTTCAGGGTCCACTTCTGGGTTCTCTGTTCTGTTCCATTGATCTATATGTCTGTTTTTGTGCCAGTACCACACTGTCTTGATGAACACAGCTTTGTAGTACAACCTGAAATCTGGCATTGTGATGCCCCCAGATATGGTTTTCTTTTTTTAAAATTCCCCTGGCTGTTTGGGGTCTTTTCTGATTCCACACAAATCTTAAAATAATTTGTTCTAAGTCTCTGAAGAAAGTCCATGGTATTTTGATAGGGATTGCATTATATGTGTAAATTGCCCTGGGTAACATTGACATTTTCACAATATTAATTCTGCCAATCCATGAGCATGGAATATTTTTCCATCTCTTTGTGTCTTCCTCAATTTCTTTCAGAAGTGTTCTGTAGTTTTTAGGGTATATTTTGAGAACCATTTGAATGGTAAATGGTTCTCCAACCTTT